GGTTCTTGGTCGGGCTCAGGGTGGGTTCTCGGTAGGGCTCGGGGCGGGCTCCAGGTACTCAACTGACGGGTTCCAGTTCACTCAACTGGCGGGCTCCGGTTCATTCAACTGGCGGGCTCCGGTTTACTAAACTGGCGGGCTCCGGGTGTTTGACTGGTCGGGCTCCGGGTGGGTGACTGTTCGGGCTCCAGGTGGGTGTCTGTCCAGCTTCGGGTGGGTTCTCGGTAGGGCTTGGGGGGTGGGTTCTCGGTAGGGCTTGGGGTGGGTTCTCGGTAGGGCTTGGGGCTGAGTTCTCGGTAGGGCTTGGGGCTGAGTTCTCGGTAGGGCTTGGGGCTGAGTTCTCGGTAGGGCTTGGGGCTGGGTTCTCGGTAGGGCTTGGGGCTGGGTTCTCGGTAGGGCTTGGGGCTGGGTTCTCGGTAGGGCTTGGGGGTGGGTTCTCGGTCGGGCTTGGGGGTGGGTTCTCGGTAGGGCTTGGGGGGTGGGTTCTCGGTAGGGCTTGGGGGGGTGGGTTCTCGGTAGGGCTCGGGGTGGGCTCTTTCGGGATCGGGATAGGCTCTCGGGCTTGGGGAACCTCTGTAGTTCTCGGGGTAGGTTCTTGGTCGGGCTCAGGGTGTGTTCTCGGTAGGGCTCGGGGCGGGCTCCAGGTACTCAACTGACGGGTTCCAGTTCACTCAACTGGCGGGCTCCGGTTCACTCAACTGGCGGGCTCCGGTTTACTAAACTGGCGGGCTCCGGGTGTTTGACTGGTCGGGCTCCGGGTGGGTGACTGTTCGGGCTCCAGGTGGGTGTCTGTCCAGCTTCGGGTGGGTTCTTGGTAGGGCTTGGGGTGGGTTCTTGGTAGGTATTAGGGCTGGGTTCTTCGTAGGGCTTGGGGGTGGGTTCTTGGTAGGGTTTGGGGTTGGCTCCCGGTCAGGCTCGGGGTGGGCTCTTTTGGGATCGGGATAGGCTCTCGGGCTTGGGGAACCTCTGTAGGGCTCGGGGTAGGTTCTTGTTCGGGCTCAGGGTGGGTTCTCGGTAGGGCTCGGGGCGGGCTCCAGGTACTCAACTGACGGGTTCCGGTTCACTCAACTGGCGGGCTCCGGTTCACTCAACTGGCGGGCTCCGGTTTACTAAACTGGCGGGCTCCGGGTGTTTGACTGGTCGGGCTCCGGGTGGGTGACTGTTCGGGCTCCAGGTGGGTGTCTGTCCGGCTTCGGGTGGGTTCTTGGTAGGGCTTGGGGTGGGTTCTTGGTAGGTATTGGGGCTGGGTTCTCGGTAGGGCTTTGGGCTGGGTTCTCGGTAGGGCTTGGGGCTGGGTTCTCGGTAGGGCTTGGGGGGTGGGTTCTCGGTAGGGCTTGGGGGGTAGGTTCTTGGTAGGGCTTGGGGGGTAGGTTCTCGGTAGGGCTTGGGGGGGGTAGGTTCTCGGTAGGGCTTGGGGGGGGTTCTCGGTAGGGCTTGGGGGGGGTTCTCGGTAGGGCTCGGTAGGGGGGGGGGGGTTCTCGGTAGGGCTTGGGGGGGGGTTCTCGGTAGGGCTTGGGGGGGGTGGGTTCTCGGTAGGGCTTGGGGGGGGTGGGTTCTCGGTAGGGCTTGGGGGGGTAGGTTCTCGGTAGGGCTTGGGGGGGGGTTCTCGGTAGGGCTTGGGGGGGGGTTCTCGGTAGGGCTTGGGGGGGGTTCTCGGTAGGGCTTGGGGGGGGGGGTTCTCGGTAGGGCTTGGGGGGGTTCTCGGTAGGGCTTGGGGGGGTGGGTTCTCGATAGGGCTTGGGGGGGTGGGTTCTCGGTAGGGCTTGGGGGGTGGGTTCTCGGTAGGGGTCGGGGTGGGCTCTTTCGGGATCGGGATAGGCTCTCGGGCTTGGGGAACCTCTGTAGGGCTCGGGATAGGTTCTTGGTCGGGCTCAGGGTGGGTTCTCGGTAGGGCTCGGGGCGGGCTCCAGGTACTCAACTGACGGGTTCCAGTTCACTCAACTGGCGGGCTCCGGTTCATTCAACTGGCGGGCTCCGGTTTACTAAACTGGCGGGCTCCGGGTGTTTGACTGGTCGGGCTCCGGGTGGGTGACTGTTCGGGCTCCAGGTGGGTGTCTGTCCAGCTTCGGGTGGGTTCTTGGTAGGGCTTGGGGTGGGTTCTTGGTAGGTATTAGGGCTGGGTTCTTGGTAGGGCTTGGGGGTGGGTTCTTGGTAGGGTTTGGGGGTGGGTTCTTGGTAGGGTTTGGGGTTGGCTCCCGGTCAGGCTCGGGGTGGGCTCTTTCGGGATCGGGATAGGCTCTCGGGCTTGGGGAACCTCTGTAGGGATCGGGGTAGGTTCTTGGTCGGGCTCAGGGTGGGTTCTCTATAGGGCTCGGGGTGGGTTCTTGGTAGGGCTCGGGGCGGGTTCTCTGTAGGGATCAGGATGGGTTCTCGGTAGGGCTTGGGGCGGGCTCCAGGTACTCAACTGACGGGTTCCAGTTCACTCAACTGGCGGGCTCCGGTTTACTAAACTGGTGGGCTCCGGGTGTTTGACTGGTCGGGCTCCGGGTGGGTGACTGTTCGTGCTCCAGGTGGGTGTCTGTCCGGCTTCGGGTGGGTTCTTGGTAGGGTATAGGGTTGGCTGCCCAGACAAGTACAAGGGGAATGTTGTCTACACTTATGTCGACCGTGCTCTAAGCCACAGCTCAGGATGGAAGCAAGTCGATGAAGAACTTTGTAGGGTAAGGCAGGTCCTAGTCAACAACGGCTTCTCCAATGGTTTCGTTGAAGACATCATAAAAAGGAAGGTGAAACACCATGCAACCTCTGAAGAGTCAACTAACACAACACCTGTACCCCCTATTAGACTATTTTACAGGAACTTCTTTTCCACAGCTCATAAAACGGAGGAAAGGGTCCTGAAAGATATTGCTAATAGGAACGTTATCCCTACAGACAAAAATCAGAAGATACAATTAACAATTTACTATAAAACCAAAAAAACAGCCAACCTACTCATGAAAAACTCTCCTGACACAAAGCAGAACGCCTTAAAGGAGACTAACGTCGTCTATGCCTTCGAATGCCCACTTGGGGACTGTAAGCCTCAAAGAACTCAGTATATAGGCAAGACAACAACATCTCTTTCCAGGCGATTAACAATGCATAAGCAACAGGGCTCCATTAAGAAACATATCTCTTCCCACAACCAGGCCATCACCAGAGAAGTCTTAACAAACAACACAGAAATCATCGATAGATACAGCGATAGCAGGCAGCTTGATATGCCAACAAACACTTTCCAGACAACAATATATCTTGGATAAGTCGCTCCACAACATTGACACCTGGACCGTTGACTTCCTATGAGGCCACATATTTACTTATTTCATATTGGAAGTATATTATTTTATAGTAAATATATGTTTTCTCGTGTTCTGCATTAAGCACCAACATTATAGTGAATAAATATACCATATTTCTTCATTATTTAAGTAATGCTAGGAGGCTTTGAGTAGCTTTGGGTCATTAGGTGAACATAATCTCCAATAGATGGGGCGAGAGTCGCGCTATCTCTCGCCCGAGCGAGAGTCGAAACATATTTTAGAATTGATATATCTTTGTCCTCCAACAAGATATATTTCCTTTGGTGCACTCACAATAACGAGCATATCTCTCTTTCTGAAGGCATATAATATTTTAGGCTTTATAGGCGTATCTTTGTTAATTACACACTATATTGGCAAGTGCGAAGGCTTCTGCATTCCATGACCGACAAGCTACTGAATGCCACTATAAAAACGTATGTATCTTCACTTGAGCTTTATATATGTCTATGTTAAAGTATTTAAAATGAAGCTTATATTTCTTTCTTGAGACATATAAAACATATGTGTTTATTAATGAATTTACGTGAAATAAGCATTGTTCTGAGAGTTGCTCTGTCGATCAGTCTGTGCGGGGTCGGAGCTCGGATATTATTAAAACACATGTATCTTCATTAGAACTTTATATATATCTATGGTAAAGTATTTAAAATGAAGCTTATATTTCTATCTTTCTCAACACATATAAAAACATTTGCGTTTATTAACGAACTTACGTGAAATAAGCATTGTTCTGAGAGAGAGTTACTCCGTTGCTCGATCTGTGTGGGATCGGAGCTCGCTGATTAGAAAAATACACGTATCTTCGCTTTAAATACAAATATGCCCATGGTAAGGCATTTAAAATGAAGATTATGTTTCTATCTTTCTTGAGACGTATAAAAATCTTACGTTTATTAACGATTCTGCGTGAAATAAGCATTGTTCTGAGATGAATATTGCGGATTTCCGGCTCTACGACCGATGAAAAATGCAACTTTTATACAACTACAAATATCTTTAGTTTTACTTTAAATTTTGTCCTGAAAGAGTTTTCATATATAGATCCAGTTTCTGCCGTTCTTCTGACATAAAAAGACCTTTGGTTTAATAAGTTATTAAGATGTTTTCAACAATATTACTAGGGCGTTCGCCGATTCTAACATGGGCGACCCTTTTGGAAACGCAACACATGGGTTGACCTGATTGATATATGGGTCAAATTCCATTAAGGTTCGGAACACCTCCGCCTCGGAGCCGCTGGATCACGTCCTGTTTTCGCGTTTTGGCTTTGCTACTGCCGTTTGGCATCCCTCTTGAACAGTCCGGTTGTACGACGCCTGGCGCACATATCGCCTTGGGTTACGGGATTGTTGATAGATTTTTTTTTTGTGTGTGTTCTGGCTGGTTCTCCCGGCGGGGTGACGGTGTTCGGGGGCCGGCTTGGCCGAGAGGTGCCTGGGGTTAGCGGGTCTTGGTGGGTTTCTGGTGTGCCCTCAGCTGTGGTGGGCGGCTGGCTTCTGCTCTGCCGGAGGACACTGGATGACTTTTTGCGTTTTAGTTGGGGGCAGAGATTTAGTTTTGCTTCCTGGTGTTCTCTGTGTGGGGCGGGGTCGGTGCTTGTCACCCTGAGGGACTCCTGCGACTCCCCAATCATCTGCCTGATTGTGCGTTTATTTGCCGTATGGCATATTAGTTTCTAGTGAATGGCGTCCCTCGTTTCGCGTTTTGGCTTGGCGTTTTCACCTTTCCTGACTTCGCGATTCACCCTTAACGGGTACTCTGGGGCGCATCCGATCCCACGATCATCGTCGCCCCTAAATCAACAACAACAGTCATCCCTTGGTCCAACAAACAACTTTACAAAAAAAATAAAAAATAAAATGTTTATGCAGGTAAAAGTACATATATACATATGTACATGCATTACGAACGTTACCTTAGACGCCGGGTTCTATAGCTTTATCTTGACGAGAGGAGTGGAGGACGTCTGAACACCCCTGGAACCATCTCAACATGTGAAGCGATTTACTCACTGGGTGACTGGGTCTCCGTCCCGATTGTTATGACGTTGGCGCCCAGGCCGGGCTCCGGGAGTGGAAGAACTCTAGAAATCCACTCCAGGTATGCCCGGCTTATTTATAGACTAGGGGTCACAATCTTCTTGATAGAATTTTACAGTTTTCCAGTTTTACAGTAATTCTGTAAATTATTTACAGAATTTGCCCTTTTGGGTACAAAGTTAAGAGGGATCGTGTCTTTGCTTGACATTGTTTGGCTACCCAGTGTTCTTAGTTTGAAGTGGGAATCAGTGCTTACTTCTCTGAAGAATTTCTGGGGCTCTCTGAACATCTGCCTCTAAGTGTGTTTATTCCCTGCAGCATGTAAACTTCATGTGCCATAAAGAATAATAATAACAAGCAATTCATGCAAACTTCATGTGCCATAAAGAAGAATATGGGCAACTTTACCCTACTGGTGCTCTAGAGTATAATTATAGTGAACGTGATACTGAGGTCTGCTGTTTTGCCTTCATCCACATTCCGGTTGTATCCCTTGTTTATACTCCCCTACTGTCTTCATTAGTCCGCAGCTTCACTGCCTCCTATCGTTCGCAGCCCTTTCCTCTACGATTCCTTATTATTTGTTTCATCTCTTGTTATGTCTCTTCTTTGGAATGAATACTTGAGCCATAACCTTCTTTAACCATTTCTCCCTCCTTATCTTTCCTCGCTCTGTTAGGCCTGACCATTCCTCTTCATTTCCATCCCTTAACCACTTCCCATTATCTTCCCTCCTTCTCATAGCCACTTACCTTTCCATTCTTATCTCCTGCTGTCTACAGCTGTTGTCTACAATTACTAAAAAAATTTATTTTCTAGTATCCATATTTATTTCAAATTTCCAAGATCCTGAGACAGTGAAGGAACATTTTGTTGTACAATGGGTAAATTTTTGGAGCTAATGATTTAAAGGCTTTAATTTGAAATTTAGAAAGTACTGAACAGATTCTGCATAATCCCTTAAATTAATTACCTGTATATGCTTTTCAGATTTAATTAACATGGCTAAAATATTGATGAATTTTTGTGGGGAACTACTACTGCATTGTAAAATACAAGTTACCAGGCATTCAGCAAGGCAATTTGCATCATCACTACATAAAGCTTGTGAAGTGCGTGTTCGATTTGCGCCAAGTCCTACTGGTAATGTGATTATTATTGATGTTGTTTAATGTTGAAATTAGCTTTTTAAATTATTCAGGAAATATGTTTGTTATTAATTTGATTATATTGGTGTAAAAGTTAATGAAAGATCCATGATTTATGGAGGGTGAGTTGCTGTACTGCATTTGGCTCATGGTTTACAACTCAAAGCTAATTAAATTTTGAAAGCTGAAATCAATTTTGTCCCAGTTTCACTCATAGTTTTCTTAATATATAAGATATTTAATCCTTACACTGAACATGTCTGCTGTAGTAATATATATACAGGTATATAAATTATGTATGTCATACCTAATGCCAGAACTGCACTACTTAGTATGCAAGGCCCGATTTGCCTAACAAGCAGAATGATTATCGCCATTTTCAAGTTTTTCTTTCCAATTTGGTTTATTCCAATTATTATTATAGTGTATTATATATATATACAGTATTAAGAACAAGAATTATATACCAACTTAGGTTAAGATGGGTTTAGTAGGTTTGGTTAGGTTTGATCAAATTCCTGTTAGTTTTAACTCAAATTAAAATAAATTTAAATCATATACTGTATATAATATAACAGAAAGCTTAATCATTCCATAAGATTTTTTTAATATAATATTTCAGAAAAATTTGGCATGTTAGGCAACTTGGCTTATTAGGTACAACATGTATATTGTCTCTGTCCACACACATACATATATATACATATATACATACTTTTTCCTTTTATCTGTAGGAAACCTACATTTCGGGAGTTTGCGAACAGCTTTGTACAATTTCCTTTTTGCAAAATCCAACAATGGGAAATTCATCTTAAGAATTGAAGACACAGATCAGACCAGACTTGTTCCTCATGCAGCTAGGATTCTTGAGGATATGCTAATGTGGGCTAAAATATATCCTGACGAATCTCCAGTAGTTGGTGGACCACTTGGTCCTTACGTACAATCACAGCGTCTAGATCTTTACCATGATCATATTAAGATTCTTCTGGAAAATGGGAGTGCCTATAAGTGTTTCTGTACAAGTATGAGATTGGATTGGCTACGGAATGATGCCATTAGAAGGAATGAAACACCAAAGTATGACAACAAATGCAGACATCTTTCTTCTTCCAAAATTGAAAAACTAGAAAGAAATGGAACACCATATTGCATTAGATTTAAGGTAAGCTATATGATGGAAGTTTTTATTTTTTAAATTAGACCAAACTTTTATGTTTAGATTTACCTTATGAAAATGAATTTACTTCACAGTACTGTATTTTGCTTTTCAAATATATATATATATACAGTGTCTCAGTACTGTACCTTTTATTTCCATGCAAGGTCAGATTTTGCTATGTATCGACCTTTAGTAATGGTACAGTATTATAAAACTTGTATTTAATTTTCTGATCTTGTAATTTTATCATAATGAAATAGCTTGTGCATCACCTGATAAATTTCTCTACTGTAGTTCAAGAACTGCAGCACAGTGATGTGATTCCAGCATTGTCAAAAAACTAGTCCAGGTTAAATTAAGAAAATTAGGGTGAGGATTAATTTGAAAAGAGAAACTGAGCTACTGTACTTATCAGAGGCATAGATATGAGATAGTAGTGTAATAAAATTGGTATGTTGTTGCCATTTAAAACATGATGCATTATATATATTTGAAAATGGAATTTCTGAAAAGTATCATACTTTATTACTTTTATAATGTGTTACAGATACTGTATTATAATACATATTTCTGGGGGAAGCCCCTATGGCTCCCCAGAGCTATCCATATCAGCCATGGATAGCTCTAGGTAGCCTCCAGGACTCACCCAGAAAATGACATTTCATTACATTCAACGCTGGTTTTTTATCCTATTTGAAGCTTTCTCTTACTACACTGTAGCCATTCCTTAAGCATTTTACTGGGTGCTACGTACCACACAGTTTCTACTGAGACTCATAATACTCCTAGAATATATTGGTCAAATAAGATCTTGTTTTGAAAAATATATGTAGTACAGTAATACAAAATTAAAATGTTCAGATATATGTTAGATTATTTATATGAAGAACCTCATTAATTTGGTGCATTCCAGTCTATTCTGCACAAGTCAGTCGATTTGATTTAAATTGTTTATTTATAACAGCTCGAGACAGTAACAGAGCCTTATCAAGATTTAGTGTATGGTCCTGTTCTGTGTAATGTGGCTGACATTGAGGGGGACCCTGTGATAATGAAGTCTGATGGCTATCCAACTTACCACTTTGCTAATGTTGTTGATGATCATCTAATGAAGATAACTCATGTTCTAAGAGGTGTGGAGTGGCAGGTATCAACATCAAAGCATCTCCTTTTATACAAGTAGGTTGTCTAGATTCATTCTATTACTGTGTTTTTTTATATTGATTTGTTAAAATACAGCTCTCTTGAATACAATTGTATTGTAATTGATTTCTTAAAAGAAGCTGTACAGTATTAGTTTCCAAATATTATGTCTTTGTGTTAATGCTGTAGAATATAGCTATGAGAATAATGAACAAATCCTGTACATAAATAATGTTCTTAAAATGCATATTACTTTAGTAAATATGGTATTTTGTTACACTAGAATTTGTACATTTCAGTTCTGAAACCCTTTTTTAAAACACTATTTATAGAATACTGTACCTATGCATAACTTCAAGATACCGTACAGTATTGTACATAATATTGAAAACCCCTCAGACACTACATTCCAGACCCTGTTTGTTGCATTTAATTTTCTCTATAATTTGGCCATAATTCTTAGTCTTTATTAGTTCAAATGATTGAGAATACATTTTAACTCATAATACAACATAATCTCGATAGAACGGAACGTGTGCTATTTGAACTGTTCCAGATCATTAACAGAATTTATTGTATTGAGGTTCAGTAGTTTCTCACAATTGTGAGATCTTTTACTGTCAAAAGTTTCAAGAATGGAATTCCACAGTTTCAAAACCTCATTTGGTGCATTACTCCAGTCACTAACTTATATTTCTGTATGTTCTGGTTAAGCTCTATATCAGCAAATTTCAGCCACTAAATTGAGCTGCTTTGTAAATCATTCGGTTACATCTCAAAACTATCCAAACCAATCCTCTACTAAATTTCCAGACTGTTTATAACTGTTTGCACACTTATGAATTTTGCAGTACAATATCTTCAAATGACTTGAATTTAGTAAATCTTCAAGAAAAATTTATCAGTAGTTGAATTAATGATGCTCAAATGTTGCATTTGAAAGACCTGATACTTTTCTCTGAATTAAAGATCTATCATGTATGTTTTAGGGTTGAGAAATATTTAATTGCCCAGATCGACATCACGTTTAAAAACAAAATTTCCGTTTAAAAAATTTCAGTTTAATTTTAAAGGCTTTTATGTTATCGAACATAACATGTTTTGCCAGATGCCTGTAATTTAATATTCAAGTCATTTAACTGAGTTGAAGTCTGTGAAAAAATTATACAAATCCACATACAGGAGTCAGATAATTTTTGACAAATTTTTTCATCCATCAAAAGTCTGACAAATTTCATTCAAATCCTTAACAAATTGTTTAGGGATAAAACCTCTACTTAGCCCAAAAAAATTGTTCTACACAAGTGTTGTTTTATCGATTTGGGTTTGTAAAAAAGTAATTCGCTGCTTCATTTAGCAGTAAGTAGTCTTTAAACTTATCCATAATTCATATAATATATAAAGAATCAAAGAGTAGTACTGCATGCCTCATACCAACAAAATGTGCTTGCGTGCCACCCTGGGCATGCGTGCCATTGGTTTACCACTCCTGTTTAAGGCAATTGACTGACCTTCACCAGTATACATTCTTCAACAATCGACTAACTTTCAGGTATCTATTCAGTTCTAGGTAAATAGAGGTTTCATTTGTTGGACCCATTTCACTGGTTCCTTTTTCAGGTATTTGGTTTTCTTGCTGAGTCTGGTGGTTTGTTCACCTTCTCATCAGTGTGGGAAGGCAACTCCAGCCTTCTCATCCTGATGGTTCATCCAGCGGACAGGATGGACAGGCCCATCGTGTCTGCTGCCTGAAGTACAATATTGTCTACTCTCTTGGTTTTTGGCCCTGGACAGGTGTTTGGATTCATGGTTTCTGGCAATTTTCCTCTCCTCCTTCTATGATAAGCCCTTTTCTCTTTGCTGTCCATGATAAGTCAGCTTTAGGAAAGCACGGAAGGGAGTCCACCCAAAAATCCAGCTTTGAATGTAGCGAAAAGGCTCTTTCAGGTGGGTTCCTTTGGGAGTATTGTACCCCTCCCCCTTCCTGCCCTTCTCTCCTTCCCATGTCTAAAAACAAATAGCCCAATCAAAATATTAATTATTTTTATTTATTAATAATTGTTGTCGTCTTATCCAGTGTTAAATATGTAAATTGTTGCTTAAATGACTTTGTTCCAATAAGTAATTTTACTGTTTTACATAGTACCTGTACTTATAATCTAAGCAATGGCTCTGTTACCTGCAAGCTTATTAAAATTAAATATATAGTGCAGGTAGTGCAGTTCTATTCATTCTCAACTCAGTTGGGAATTTTTCACCAGTAATGCATGCATGATTTATATTTTGTGTCATGGTATTCTTAAGATCATTGGATTGGATACCAAATTTAGTATCCATTGGTGAACTCTCACAATTTTGACACTGAAACCCGTTTCCACCATACTTTTACCTTTTCTTTGTAATCTATTAGGATGGGGTGTGGGAGAATGTATGGTACTCTGAATTAGTGAATGACCCAAGATGCAGCATTGAAGATAATATTGTTCTACAGAGCATTTGACTGGAGTCCTCCATTCTTTGGACACCTTCCTCTTATCATAAATAAAGATGGCAGTAAGCTTTCGAAGCGACAGGGAGATCTTCACATTGAACATTATCGAGACCAAGGATTCACTCCAGAGGCTGTACTAAACTTTGTGACTGACATTGGAGGAGGATTCGAGAGCAGGGAACATTGTACTTTCTTGTCTCTTGAAGAATTAATGGAGAAGGTAAATAGTCAATTTATTTTTGCATGACAAAGTATAAAACATATAATGTATTGCACACAGAAATAACAATAATGTGATGCATCAAATGAACAGATCCACAAGGGCTGTGTGAGGGTTCGAATCTACGTCCGAGAATATCCCAAATGCGCCTTAATCGACTGTGCCACAACATGGTAAAAGAATTGCAACCGAGAATGCTACTGCCCCCACACGGATCCTGCAGTCTCTCCAAGACACAAACCATTGTGTTACACAATTTCCCCATGCACCCGGGCTCTGTCAACAAGCTGTTCAAGGGCCCTCATTACGGCTCTTGTGGATTTATTCATTTGATGCATCACGCTATTATGATTTCTGTGTGCAATGAAGGGCAATGAGGTAGAACAGCTTATGGATTTGCTCATTTGATGCATCACGCTATTGTGATTTCTGTGTGTAATGAAGTAAGGGCGAAGAGGTAGAACAGCTTGTTGACAGAGCCAACAAAACGCACTGTCCTGGACCTTTATTAAGTCGATTAAGAATTATAAACATGTGATTATAATGTTTATTATTTTTAAGAAAGCTCTTATCTTGATGTGCAATATTCTATATAAACCACTTTCAGTTCTCTCTCTCCCGGATCTCCAAACATTCCTGTCGATTGGATAAGGAAAAGTTGGAACTATATAGTCAGATGGATCTTCAGAGACGTTTAAGTAATCCAAGTGACCTTCCATTACTACTTTCCCAACTCCATGACTTAATTAAAGAAAAATATGGAGAGAAGTAAGTTATACAAATACAGTATTAATAATTAATATGATTAATTTAAATGATTCATTTCTGGTACTTTAAGAATTTGACAATTTGCCTTACACAATTTTTCAATTAAGATTTAATTTCTCTTGCTCAGATTATAATTTCAAGAAGAATGTACTAAATGAAACCTCACCTTGCCATCTCTCTCCAACATTAGATGGCATTGCCAGCCACTCAGGGTTCCAGCGAGGTGACCAATCACACTTGAGCCTGGTGCAATCCCAATCTGTTAGCCTTGCTCAGGTTTGTCTGTGAACAAACCTTTTCTGAAGTCCTCTGTTTTCATTCCAATAGGTGGACTCTTCTAGTCCTTAAGTCTTTTTGAAATACGGTAATGTTTCAGAACTTGGTTGCCAGAGTGAGACCTGTTGACTGGAATGTGGTGCTTTGTTCCGGGTTGTAGGTTATCAAAGCTTTGCATCTTGACAAGTGTACTACATGGGTACATATTTTTTCTTGACTTCATTTCAACACATATTGACCTACAACTTTCACATATTCGAGTATGAATGCCAAACAATATTTATTAACTACTGTGCTGCTCAGGCTCCAAATATGGCACCCTCTGTGCTGCTCAGGCTCCAAATATGGCACCCTCTGTGCTGCTCAGGCTCCAAATATGGCACCCCCCCCCCCCTGTGCACAGGAAATAAATTCATGGCAAAATATTTTTTTTGTTTTTGAAAACGTTAAATACCCTTGTCTGATCACAACTATGTAAAAAAAAAAAAAATCAAAATTGTACTTTGGCCACAATGGGGTCCAGAAAATGGCGTGTGATGTAAATTTCCGGATCCCCGTGGCAGTCGTGTGCCAGCTTCAACATGAGCGAGTTGCCACAAATAATTTTTTGTTCATTTTTTGTGTACATTTCCAAATACTGTACATTTATGTTGCTTTTTCTTGCCACTCCTATGTATAATGAACACATACGCAATATTATGGCAGTAGAACATCTGTACTGTCCCAAGACACTGTTACATGCATCACAAATGTGTCCACATGTATATACAGTATATATATATTTTTTTGAGATACATACAAGAGTTGTTGCATTCTTGTACAGCCACTAGTACGCGTAGCGTTTCAGGCAGGTCCCTGGAATATGACCCCCACGAAGAATTGTTGTTAATGCAACCAAGTACCCATTTTACTGTCGAGTTAAACAGAGGCTACAGTTAAGGATTTGCGCCCAGTAAATCCTCCCCAGCCAGGATATGAACCCATGACAAAGCGCTCGTGAAATGCCAGGCGAGTGTCTTACCACTACACTACGGAGACTGGTGTTTATATTGCTCATATATCCAATGTTTCATGTTCATTTATGTATATTTACACACTATACACTATCACACACTATATACATTCACCATCAACATACTCAGAACTCTGCAAGTGAGAGCTGCCACACCCAGCTAGCCCTCCTCACTCCTCCAACACCTTACTCGCCAACATTTCTCCTCCCACAATACTGCTACTGTATTGTTTATATTACACTATTTACACACGTTATGTATAAGTATCTACATGTTTTATTCACCATAACTATGCAACTAAGCTGGTATTGTGTCCAAACAGCACAGTGGCCACCATACACTGCATGACAATTGTCATACAGCAGACGACGACACTACGAGTACGACACCCCCTCCCTCACCAAAATGGCTTTTCCCAACATACTCCTGTTGTTGTTATTACACTACATATGCACACATTATATATACAGTCCCCATGTATATGTGTGTTCACCATAGCAAACCACTAAGCTAGTATGGTGAGCAAAACAAGATTGGCTGCCACACACAGTGATGAGTCCCCTTAAATTTAAATTCCTGGTTCTGTATGGCTGGAGATTTGTTTACTGCCTATTGCTGCTCATTAGGTTTTGCAGCTCTTGAGGTATTTTGTGGTTCTTTGGGCTCCAGTAGGGCCACTTCTTCTGTTGTTGGTTTTCCAGTTTGCTTGTGCATTTTTGTACAGATCATTTGGCCATGGCAGACAGTTCAGTCTGATTGGCTGTGACTTTTGGTTGACTGCCTCTTTTTCTGGATCCTAGTGGCCCATCTTGAAGTTTGTGTAAGTCCTTGCACCAACTCTGCCAGATTCTTTTTTGGGAAGTGGGACATTGCATGAATAATCCTGGTTGTTCTGGGCTTCTTGTCCAGTGGGATTTGGAAATACTATACCTGTATATAGTATTGTTATACTGTTAGAAGTATATATATCTCTTGAAATTCCTTCTGGTATTGTCAGTTGGGAAATAACCAGACTTTATTCAGTAGGAAACTTTGTTTCCACAGTTCTCTTTACACATGGTTACGTTTCTTCCCTACTGTGATGGTGGCTGATTACTCATGGAGTGTCAGAATTTTCTGTATGGCCAAAACTTTATTCTGTATGGTTTGACTAATTGCCCCTCATTTAACATAATTTGCTGGTGGGTCTGGATGACAATTGCTTACTGTTAACCTGCCAGTTTTCCAAGCTCTGTTGGTTGGAACAACCAAGAGACTTACAACCGGTCTTTGGTTCCAACTTTCATGAATTGGAGCTTTCAAACAACTTTTAAAGAGCTTTTCCCTGTTCTTTTGTGCTTGTTGCTGTTGCTTGCAACAGCCCAGTTCTTGTTTTGGCAGCACATTATACATTATTCACATACTTTACATCATTATTGTATCAACCATTGTTAAGTGATATCCACTGTTTAAAAATTTTTTGTGCTCTTTGTAATATTTTTGCACTATCATTTTAGAGTATAGTATGCCTATATCCTGGCCGCCGCTGAAATTTTATTTTGTCAAACATTCTGCTCCTTTCCTTATCTTGTACCATTTTAGCACTTTTTGTCTGGCCTTGAAGCAGAAGTGCCTTGCACAGCAGATACCTTTTGCTCTTTTTGGTGACCCCCATTTCATTTCCATTGCTTCTGCTGTTTTTTTCTTTCATTAAGATGCTTATTAAATTTCCTCAGGTAATACCATGCTGTATTAACCCTTCCACAAAGGATTAATACTGCATGGTGCTAATAAATAGCATCTCGTATGGAGATTGAAGGCTAATGGCACAATTGCTATGCTGGATGCTTTTTATCATAGTTAAATTAACGATCATGTTACTTTTCTTAACTTTTTTTTTTTAATTTTCAGGCTTGCAAGCACTGCTCAAACAAAGGTTTTGAACTCTGATTTTTTACAAAGAGTGCTGAACCTGCATGAGGCAAGAATTGTGAATCTTCGTGATTTATTACAGCCTGAATTTATGTATATTTGGGTTATACCAGACAGTCTTCCCATACACCAACTGCCAGCAGTGCCTTGTAAACATGGTATGTCTTTTACATCACAGTCACCTTTGTAAAATATTGTCATTATAGTACTTAAAACCTGGAAGGATGCAGATTGACTTGCAAGTGTTGTGGTGCAAGTGCTGGCATGCGTGTGTGTGTCCATCAGAGAAAATATCTAGTTCACAATGTTTTCATATTGATTGATTGAAAGAGATTAAGCCATGCAAGAGGTGGCATAAGCATGAATAGCCCATAAGTTTTCGTACCGATTTCAACCCTGAAAATTAATCGGCATCCTTCCACCAAATTATCATTTGTTGCTTTGTAACTAAAGTCTAATTATTCATAAATTTCCAGCTGAAGTCTTGCAAAGTGTTTTGGAAGCCATTATTGCCTTACCCAAAAGCTTTGATAAAGAACACATAGTTAAAGCAGTTGAAGATGTGATGAAACAGTATGGACTGAAGATGCCTATCATCATGAAGTTAATAAGAATGTCTATCACTGGTATGAAGGTGAGTCTAGTAGATAAATTTTTTGTGGGCACTTTATTTTTTCAGCGCTGTATTTTCAGTTGTGCAAGTGAATGCAAACACTTAAGAAAATGCCTCCTCATTTTCTAAATGAAACTTCAAGAATAAGTGGTCATAAGATTCAAGCTAAGAAAACAGGTGCCAAAAAACATACGAAAGTTCTCTTCTTTCAAAAACAGAGTGGTAGATGGTTAGAACAAGCAAGCAAGGTGGTAGATGCCAGAACCATTATTAGATTCAAAGTGTCATATGATGAAAATTACTGGGAAGACAGGACACCACAAATGTAGCTCTCATCCTGTACCTACACTTGGGTAATTACACAGGAAAACACATACCTGTATACTGCATAAATAAACTCTGGCAGTTTCTTGTTTATCTGTTTATATCTTTGATGTATTGTGCCCTCTAGGAAGTCCATAACATTGAGGAGGATAGCAACAAGAATCTTTCCCAGACACTCGAAATGCCTTCAAGGGTTAAATAAAGAAAAGGGCCATGTGTATCATGCACCAAAAAATTTTGCTTGAAAGGCAGAAAGTCATAAGGGGATGTATGAAAAAGAAAGGCATTGGAAAATCAGTATTTGTTGAATTGTTTCCTCATCTGAGCCAACTACATTGCCACTAGGTCACACACTGTGCTGCCAGATTGCCAGAGACTTGTACTCTGATGTACTGTACTGTATTGTAAAATTAATGAAATCTGAAAGCTATTTATCTATCAAATTATTAATTTTAAAAAAGTTGCAAGTACTCTTCCCCTTCTGTATGGCGCTTCAGTTGAATTATATCACCCTATACTATCTTTGTACTGGAGCTGTAGAATTTTACATCCTAGCCAAGTGCATTTTTTAACAATTAACATAGCAAGTTTATATTATGCCCATCACTGCCTTATATAATGTTTTCATTAGGTGTTTCATATATTTTAACTCGGGGTTTATGCTTTCCAGGAAGGTCCTCCTATTGGTGAAATGATGTCTATGCTGGGACAAGATATATCTGTAGAACGAATAAGACATGCATTGAGTTTATTGGAAGATAATTGATTCCAGTCAAGGTACAGTACTCATAAATAAAAAGTGTTCAGCACACTGAGTGCATATTTTTTAAGTCTATGTATCTTCAACACAAGATAATTGCCAGAAACTACGGTAAAAAGAATACTACTTACTACCTTAGAGGTTACAAAAAATGCAGTGACTTAACACTTCGCACAACCAGGACCAATTATGTGTCTGTAATTTTGCTCACGTTTGTGCACCGGGACACATGTTGCGTCCCCAGTTAAAATATTTGTTAGAATTCTAGTTTTTATCCGATCATTATGGGACTGGTTTCAAAATGAATGCCTTTAGATTGTGCACAATTTTATATCATAAGAAACGATGTAGCCTGACAATTGAGGTCAGAACACTGGAAAGATTATGAATACTTTTGTAGTGATGAGTCAAAACTTAAAATATTTAAAATTCTAGTTATTGTTTGATTATTATGGGACTAGTTTTCAAGTGCGCGTCTTTATATTGTGAACAGTTTGATACCAAAATGAATGACATAACATGAAAATTGATGTTATCAAACTGAAAATGAGTATACACATTAGGTTGCGAGTATGCCAATTGGTGCTCGCTCACGGGTAATGCTTGGCAGACTTTAGGCTTTGCTATGGGGGGGTCGTGCCGGGCTTTTGGACTTTATATGCATATACCCCTGTTGGGGGTATATGCATATAAAGAACACATTCATACCAAAAGGAACGATGTAGCATGAGAATTAAGGTGAGAAAACTAAAATGAGTATACACATTTTAGTCTAGCCACGTGCTGACGAGGAACGCCCGGCACACACTTAAGTAGGCTGGGGCGCGCACGCTGGATGCGCAAAACTGTTAATTCTAAGTGCTTAATTTATTGTTTTGAAATGATACAAAATTAAGAAAACTAATAATTTTCTAATAATGCAAACCCTTGGAAAAAAATGATAAGCATATACTTTCTTCATTATTACATCTAATTAAAATAGTTTACTATTTGCAGGTGGTTAACAAATGCACAACATATGACAAAATATAAGAACTGGAAAGTATTACATATTTAGTAACATTTAAATATTAAGCAGAGGGCTACCTGTACTACATGGCAATACAGTACAGAATTATTGACACTACTAATTTGACAGCACCGTGTACCACCCAACTTCATGGCTTACAGTAATCATGTACAGTACAATACTTAGGTGATCCCATTTAGTTTTTTCCTCTTGTACAAATAAATGCCTATATTGTACCCATTTATAAATTTTCCTTAATAAATTCTGCAGCTCATTACCCCATTTTCTATATTTTATTAAAATGTCATACTGATGATAAACTAAGTACTGTACCTAGATGCCAAGCCGGAGCCAAGTGGATCCATGTCCTTGCAGAGCCAGTCGGGATGAAGCGCCTTGAAAACGGACGACTGAAGCCAAATTCGAGCGAGCCTGCAAGTCATCTGCTACGAGGGCTACAGACATCAATGGCAACTGGGCATGAAGCTACATAAACTCAACATTCCGGGAATGTGAGCAAACGGGCAATCCTTAATTCTTTAATAGCACAAATTGTCTGTATATAATTTTGGTTTAACTGCCTGCACAGTGCACATCGTATATATACTTTTTCAACCTGTCCTTGACTCAAATCTATTCCATCCAGCAGTCGACCCCAAAGACGCATTCATAAATTTTAACATGCTGTTCATTCAAAACATGAATTTTCTGAAATATAAATTAATATTATATATTAGCATATTATGCATATTTAGGCATAGGTTAGGTTAGGTGTTTAGGTTCTGTGTGAAGCATTTACAGCATTGTGGTTTGAATAAAAATTGTCAGTGAAGCATTTGTTTTGGAAGTGTTCGAACGCCATCAGTTGTGAGTCGTGTGTAAACCATTTTCATTCATAAATGTTGTTTGGTGGGTGCATGGAATCACTTTTGGGTCTTTGGCGGTCAGGCTGACATTTTAAAGCACCGCATAAGATTTAAAAGTCCCGCGGCTACACAGGGTTCACATCAGCTTCCTCAGAGCTCTAGTAAACAGACGCCATTTAAAAAAATATCCCAGGTAAAATTCCAGGGTGTGAGAGCCTCAGTACCAAGTGAGCAACCAAGGCTGGCGCATGCAACGTGAGCTAACAGCACTGTTTTTAGCTTGTGACCATAGCATCTCCTAAATATGTCAAAATATATATGTAACTGCTATTATTAAGCAATGATAGTATTACAGAAGAGCCTGACTGATAAAGACTGTGTACAATGTTCAGATATTGTACACACTGCTGATCAAGATGTTCACAGCGCACTGCCATTGTTTGGTCCATCTAAGAATCTTGAAAGAACATCTCATGTTCCTTTACAAAACAAAAACTTGTGGAAAATTATTCATTTACAGGATTTAGTGACCATGATTCTGAAAATAGCAGTATTGTGGTGAGAATTAGCAATGTGCGTAGTATGGTGGGAGGAGGAATCTTGATGAAGGTGGCATCAGCTGTGTGGCGGCCACTGTTACTGTTTGGACTCACCATACCAGCTTGTACAGTTATGGTGAACACAAATGTAGATACTGTACTTATATATCTACACAGGGCTAACAACACTGCAAACCAGGCATAACAGGGTGGATCTCATCGAAACCTTTAAAATACCAAACAATTTGGAGGATGTCAATCCGGACAATTTGTTCAAAAGGTCAGATGTAACATGAATGAAGAGCAATGGCTTCAAGCTCAATAAGACACAATGTAGGACAGAAAACAGGAGATGCTTTTTTACCTGTAGGGTTATAAATGTGTAGAACCTTCTACCCTTGAAGCTGTAAATGCCAAAACTTTTCTGGGTTTTAAAATACATCTGGAAAAGATCATCAGGACAAATGGGGGGGATCTTTGACAAGCTGCTGGCTTCCTGTCCTTATCGATGCCACTAATATTAGTGGCCCTTGGGTAAATTCAGGTAAATATAACGTGTGTGTGTGTGTGTATATAGTATAATAACAGCAAAAAGATTATGTTAGGAGGAGCCATTTTGGTGAGGGAGATGATGATGATGTCTGCTGACTGGTGTGTGGCTTGTGTCATGCAGTGTATGGTGGCCACTATGTTGTTTGGACACCATACCAGCTTAGTTGTACAGTTATGGTGAACAAAACATGTGGATACATGTACTTGTATATGTGTGTGTATATGTATTGTGTAGTAACAGCACAAACAGTATGGAGGGAGGAGGAATGTTGGAGAGGGAAGGAGGGAGGTGGCATCAGCTGGCTGGTGTGTAGCAGCCACTGTTATTGTTTGGACTCGCCAACCAACTTAGTGGTTCGTTATGGTGAACACAAATGTAGATACACTGTATTTATATATAACGTGTATATATAGTGTAATAACAGCAAAAATATTTTTGTTTGTTTTATGAACATAATTGAATTGCCAATATGCAAACCATACTTTTGAGTATAGCAATGGTTCACACATTTTATTATTATATAAATATATTACACTACACTATTGAGTAATATTACTGCCAAAAACCAGAGAAAAACGCACATTGAAAAAATTAAGTAATAATATCTTTGTGACGCCTGACGGCATTGATTAAGGAGACCAGCCCCAGACATGTACTCAGTGCCTGACTTGACAGACTTCCTCGCCCTATTGCAGCCAAAATATGTCCATCTACAATTTTTGTATTATTTTTCCTGTGATCAGGGAACACATTTTAACAATCTTAGAAGACTTATTTTTTTCTTGCGCACAGCACTGTTGTCGGCTATTAGCAGAATGGGTTAAGCAGTTCAAGAGCCACCACCTAAACACACCTAAAACACTGTTGAAACCTCACACCACTTGAGCATGCAGGAATGACAGAAGCCATGCCAAGTCTAAGAGAAAACTCCAGAACCTCGTAGTGCAACCAGTAAGGCAAGAAAGACCCAAACTCAACGAGGCAAGGTCCATCATAGAAGCAGGCTCTAGGTTTCGCAGGAGGTATTTAAAAAAAATCCGCCTGAGCCTCCGAAGGAGGAGCCTTAGAGGAAGGAAACCTTCAGGACACATTTGATGGACTAAGACACGTGGAAACAAACCCCCAGGGGATCCCGCATTAATATCAAAATCACACAAGGTAGGAGGATAAGAAAACCCTTACCCTGAAGCAAAAAGCCCTCATCAGACGACATGGAGGACCAAGTGGGGTCCAGTGGAACCCAAGGGCCCCTCTCTGACACTTCCCTGTCCCCCAGAAACCAAACACCATTGAAAGTTTTGGAGCAATACCATTACCTTACATTAGTGGTCATCTTTTAGAACCATCATTATCATCTCGTTAACTGTTTATACTGCTGTACTGGGGAACAGACTTATATAACTATATTGGCAGGTCCTTGGCAACAACTGTGACAGCAACCATTTACCTATTGTCTCATTCAACAATCAATTTACATCTTCCCATTAACCCTGTGAAGCCATCCTTATTTGTTCATCTCTTTACATAATCTTCCCGGTTTGGTGCCTTCTTTTGATAATTACTTACTTGTTCATCTCTTAAGGCCACTATTTATGGTCATATGTTATCGTTATTATTGCAGGTTAGTTCACCAATTATGTTAATTCTGTATGTTATAATAGTTAAACATACTGTATTATAAGTCTGGCATTAAATGCTAAAATGATCATGCCACCTGGCTTCCTTCTAAAGGTCAACAGACCAGAAAAAATGTACAATATATTTTTTTACTTTCCCTACAATTTTGTATACAAATGTATCACTCTAAAGGGTATTAAAAAAAATAGGCACGATGGAAAACTTGATAAATACTCAAGCAGCATCTCGAGTATTAATATTGTGTGAAACTGTGTCAATGTAATATGAAAAGGAAAATAAAGAAAATCTAGAAGAGCAAACCATCAGAGACGGTATGGATAAACCATGGTTCAGGAGAAGAATGTATTAAGACATACAGCTTACATTTATATAAACAATCTTGTGCTTAAATGTTTTTTTTTCTACTTGATAGACATACTGTACAGGGAAAAATATTGAACTGTCCACAACTGCAAATGGTTTAGGAAATTCATCTTCTGCATACCTTACTCATCTTGTTTTTTTCCAACTTGTCTTAGAACTGCATAACAAATTTAGGCCTAGACTTGGTTATGGGCATTTATCACAATTTTTCATGTTTGTGAAAATTTTTATTATTCACAAATTTTTAATAACAATGGAAAAATTTAAATATTTATTTTACATTAGTTAAAAGTCCCATTTTAAAGAAATTTTCAAATTAACATGTGTTTATATATGTATCTACATGTTATACGGTATTTTATATAGATACATAGAATGCAATGGAAGTCCACATCACTATAAATGAACAAACTAGAATCATCAAAAGTGTGCTTTCAATTGTAGTGCAATATAGAAGAAACTTGTACAGTACTTTAATGCCATGGAAAATGTAGTAAAAAGTGTCACAACAAACAAAATCGTACTAAGCTAATGTGTATATAAAATTATTTTAAGTTGTTGTAATAAATTAACATCAAAGTGATAATCTTACGGGGACAGTAAACATTCACAATTCCATTAGCGTAACACTAACAAAATCAAAATAGCATTATAGTACATTATTTTTACAATTTATTACATTTCTTTAAAATAAAAGTGCCACATATTAAGTGACAAGGGTTAAGTAGGGTTAAGTGACAATGCAAGCAATTTTCGTTTAACATGTATTCATGTATCAACACCTGAAGAACTGAGGACAATTTTTTGTCTTTACACACATTTACACCATTAGTGACAATTGAGTATGTCAACATACGATTACTCACGATAATGACAGCTTACACTTGCCGACCAGAAACAAGCTGACAAACAAGTTCGTTTGTTTCTGGTAGGCAAGTGCAAGTCGCTTGGTTGTTTCTAGTCAAATGTTTTGCCTTAATTTAATGCTATGTCAGTTTTACTGCCTGCCAAATTACCAGCAGGTAATAAAGACTGCAGAGGTCAATAAAAAAAGCCACAACTTGAGAGACCACATTTGAGATTATCAGAAGAATAGATGAGAATATTTTCAAAGATAATTGTAGTGAATGGGAAAACATCATTCAACAGGTGTTATTTATGACATCAAACAAGGAAAGACTTTATAGTACAGTAATGTGTTTCCTGAAGTCACACAATACTGTGGTTGGAGAAACTTAACAGTAAACCCACTCAAAGATGTAAAAATGTGTCAAATCTGTGGTCTGTCTTTGATTGAAACAAAATCACCATTTCTAATGTGTGGATTTAGTGTTGTCTATATCCCCCCTTTGCAAATGTGGTCATGAATTCTGGATGTGAAGGACATGTAGTAAGGAACCAAGTGCTTTCAATGACAATGACTTTCTCAATGATTAACAAATAATGTATTTCTGCCTGAATCGGCAATAGACCCTAAATTAAATATTTTCATTATTCCAGCTGAAGTGCATTTGCAATACATTATATTTTCAATATAAAAATACTGTACAACAAACATTCACATTTTCAGAAGTTACAATCCTGAAAGCCCCATAAAATCTCTATTAGATTTATTAAGAAATATAGTTCCACAGACCCTTGTAACTGTTGATACAATTATTTTTGTGTTTCACCATCATTCAATATTATTGCTATTATATATTTAATTAAATTAAGCATATAGCACATTATTAACACAAGTGTTATAATGCACTTTGATGCAAAGTATAAACAGTAGCACCATACTGTGTCGCACTGTACTTCTTAGCATGCAAAAACATCTGACTTTATGGACAATATTGTTAACAGTGCCACACCATTTTCTATGTTGATTAAATGTTTACAATTTAATACTAATATAAGGGCCATATTGTATCACACAGTTACACATGTGAAACTATACATGTTTTAATGAATATGACAAATTTAAGACATTGAACACTGACCTTAGGCCATCAAGACAATATATTCTTCTCAGGAATATAGGTCAGCAAGTCCTGACCTTGTCTTATCCAGCAGGCTCTCCATGGTCATAACACAGACAGTGAAATATCCGCTCTATGTAAAAAAAATATCCAGAATGTTTAATTGCGATACAACTGAAGGCAAAATGTCAAATAAGGCCTGAGATACATGGGCAGGGTGTGACTGGAAGTTGCCATGGGTAGGATGTGACTGAGAGTTGCCATGGGCAGGGGTGTGACCGGGAGTCACCATGAGCAGGTGATCTGGGTGTTGCCATAATAGTGTTAGTTGCATAGCTTCTACAGGAAAATTATAATTAAATAGTATCATCGTTCCTTTCCATTACCTACTGGAAGACAGTGCTCAACAGTGACTAATCTAACTACATTACTTCAATATGGACAAACTGAAGAACTCCAAATGGATAAAAGATTCAAAACAGCAAGATACTTTTATTTAATGAAGGAGACAAGTAAACGATATAGAAAAAAGATACACTAATATTTAGAGAGCACAATAAATCATTGCATCTACCAGAATATTTTATTATTAACTATGGTATAAGAACCTTCAAAACATGGATATCATGCCAGTGATGGTGCTCTTCAAGGTAATAAGGCTCTTATTTTGAAATGCTGTTCTGTTTTCACTCCCTCAAGGAAGGTGAAATATCAGACTGCTACTACTACTAACATATCAGTAAAATATTAATACTATTGAGATTGCTTCATAAAATTGAAATTGCACTGTATGAAACTAAAAAACATGTACAGTATCCCATAATCTATAGCGCACCATACATGGAAAATGCTCAAAATGTCATGTTTGAAATCTGCACAAGTTTCTGGAATGAGAGGAGGAGGAAAAGTAGGTCGAGGAAAGTGTACAGTAAGCTCTATGAAAACAGATTTAGAAAACTGTCATTAAGAGGTTCATAATTATTTAAAATAATCTACCAAACTCAAGAAATATTGCAGAAGCATAGGTTAATACCCTGTAACACAAACAGCCACACTGACCAGACTATTACCAGCAAATCCTGGCCCTAGGAGAGTAGAACATTTCTGGAGATGTCTCACAGGTAAACACCACGATTTACACATCTACCACTACAATATTTGAATACAGAAGTTTTATATTAACTTTCAACTCTGATTGTGTATTTTTAAATATTTCATTTACAAAACAACATTCAGATATTGCCAAAGTATTAGTGCAATTCAGTTAACCCTCAAATTTGGTCTTATAGGCCTAAACACTAGAAATGTGAATGTATATAAAATTTATGAGAATGTAGGGATTTACATTAGTATTATGCTTAAAAACACAACAATGAAAAGTAATTCAATGCACTATTAATTTCTTTATAGAAAAGTGCAAAAGAAAAGTCTGTAGTTAGCAAAAAGCCTGCCTATTTTTGCCTGAGGAGTTTAATCCTAATGTTTCGACATATTTCCTTGAATCATTTTCATGACCCCATATCTTGTAAGGTTAAATGCCTGTTAGTTTGACCAGTAATTGGCTCAATGACATAAATGCACTCTTACCTTTGACTATGGAGATTGCAATAAGCTAATTAAGGGTTTTCCTTCCAATCTACTAATATCACAGGAATTCTTCAAGCTGTTTATTTCAACAGCCTTAATACTAGATCTATTTCATTCCAGGTCTGAAGTCTCCCTGCTAGAGGAAAAAGTTCAGAGAATTATTCTCTTTTAACATCCATATTTCCTCATTTATCTCTCTCATATATGTATTGTATGATACAGCAGCATTAATATCAAAAGAGAGGTTGTGTTATATTGGTGTGGAGTCCTGCCAGGTGACATGACCCAACAAGGTGGACCTGCAAGATTACAGACAATTCTGACAGTGCCTTCAGGCACAGATCTTTATTTTGGGTTAGTTTTTACCAGCCTCAGCCTATATTCTCCCCATATTCTTTCACCCGCCTCAGCCTATATTCTCCCCATATTCTTTCACCCGCCTCAGCCTATATTCTCCCCTATATACTGTCACCAGCCTTAGCCTATATTTTCCCCCATATACTTTATTTTTTTTTTTATTCTCTAAACAATTAATTCATACACAATTCTAAAAAAAAAATTGTACAGTGGTACCTCAGTTTTCGTAGTTAATCCGTTCCCAGAGACGTTATGAAAACCGAAACAAATTTTCTCACAAGAAATAATGTAAATTGAATTAATCCGTTCCACACCCCAAAAAATATTAACTTAAAAAAACATTTTATACAGAATACTACTCATATTTTCATACACAAAACAATCAGGTATAAATATAAACCATAAATAAAAAGTGAACATTTATCTGCACTTTACCTTTACTGAAGACTCTTGTTGGCATATGGGAGACAGGGAGGAGGGAGGCGAGACCATTCCCTGCTCCCTTTAAACGCTCTCATGTCTGCATCACTGGTTCCAGATTTTCCTTTCAGAATTTCTCTGCCTGTTATGTGGCAGGCTGTCAGAACCAGTCACTTAGTCACAAGTCAGTCAAGCATTCACAGTCAAGACCAGTCACAGGCAGTCAAGCATTCACAGTTGTGGTAGCAACCAATTAGGCCTTTACCAGTTACCAACCAGTCAGGCATTTGCAGTCATTCAGCCATTTACATTCAATCAGGCTTTCACAGTCAGTAAACAAGTGTTTAATGTCAGGCAGTCTGCCTCCTGATAGCAAGGGAAGTCTACCGTATTAATATCGTCCAGATGTGGCTGGGAGGGTACAGTTGGGGGGGGGGATGAAGGTAGGGGGGGAGGGTGCAGTGTACTCACCTATTTGTGCTTGTGGGGGTTGAGCTTTGGCTCTTTGGTCCCAAACTGGAGGGATGAGGGGATGAAGCTGGAGTGTGGGGGATGAAGGTAGCGGAGAGGGTACAGTGGCGGTATGGGGGTAGTGGAGAGGGTATGGTGTGGGGGTTGGAGGTTAATCCCACCATCCATCCATCCAGTTCCCCACCATCCATCCATCCAGTTCCCCCACCATCCATTCATCCAGTTTCCCCACCACCCATCCATCCAGTTTCCCCACCATCCATCCATCCAGTTTCCCCACCACCCATCCATCCAGTTTCCCCACCATCCATCCATCCAGTACCCCCACCATCCATCCAGTTCCCTCCCCATCCATCTTGGGACCCATGGCGTGATATGTAATAAGAACTTCACTGTTCAGAAAACAAAAAAAAAAGCAGAAAAACAATGAAATTCTTCACAAAGAATTCAAGCGCAGTCGTCACCTCGGCAGGACACTGGTAAACTGAGGAGCCCCTCGCCGAGTTACCATGTGCTTGGTGGACCTGTACAAACGAATTCCAAACACCGAGGCAAATAATGAGTACCGAATCAAATTTTTCTGAGAAACTGACTACGAGTACCGAGGTTCCACTGTACATGCAAATATCTTACATACATAAAAAAAAATCTTGAGGCAATTTATGTTTAGCAGTAGTTACCAGGCTCTGAAATGAGAAACTGATAACCATATGTTAATAAACTAAGGTTTATCAAATTATTCAATACTGAATTAATGTCAATATAATGGCAGATGTTCTGTGTTGTATATATTAAAGGGTAAATACATGGCTCAATCTAATTTTTAACTAAAAATAGTTATTAAAATTTAATGTTGTTGAATTACATCAAGTTTTGATCAAAATATAATACATAAATATTTACAAGTCAAGAATTACAAAGCGACTACTCTACCTGTTTATCAAAAAGATACTGTAATAATCTTCAAATCACAATAATTTTACAAATAAATTGAAGTTGAAATGCATAGAACAAAACACACTGATAATGACAGGTTTGATTGTAGCCATTAAAATGCTCTACTGCTACGTGCAACATTAATTAACACACATACTCATCTCTATTGTCAAGTGCCTAATAAAGAATAACAATAATGCCTAAAAATCTTCGGTATGTTAAATATCTTGATTACAAAATACTTTATATATGAAAACACCTAAAGTTATACTACACTACCTGAAGGTAAGAATACATGTATTGGCAATTAGTAGCTACTGTAATTGATTGAAAATACATTATATTTACACATTAAGCAGTATTATACAGTTTAAATAAGTTACTTCACTACATCATTTCAATACCATTCTTCAACTATTGCTTGAGCAGCTTTCAAATAAGATATAATTTAAACATCCCATTTTTTAGTTTTAATTCTGTAGGTATTTCAAGAATTAAACCTGGTAACTGGAGGACAAAAATACTACTTTCCAACAAATCTGAAAGTACTTAAGTCATCTGCCGTGTCACTCCCCATGACACCGCCTTACACTTAGCCTCACGTTGAGTTGCTCAGTTCCTGTAGTATGGTCAAGTTTTCAAAAGCACTGAAATCTATGCTTTGTCTAGTGTCACTGAGAATGCTTCGTACCTGAAATGGTAGAGAAAAACTGTGAAAGTAGTAGTTTTGAACAATAGTTATACCATTTGTTAGTCATGAAAAACATTTAGCACCAAGGCCAAGCAGTGGGACTTAAAACATTTCTTGTATATATGGAAAAAGATGAGTGAAAGCAGGTGGGGGGAACAGAATAATTGAATGTTTGTGAATGGAGGTGAAGTCAAATTGAAGTTGCTCAGCAAGAGCAGCCTGTACGAAGATACAATATTAGTCATGAGTTGCTTGTTTGTACAGAGATAAGATAAGGGAGAGTCTGGGTGCCAGGTCTCCTCACACTGTTATGACAACAGGTCCAAGGATACTAAAATTGAATCACTGATTTAGAACAAAGTAAAACCATCCTAGAAATTCTATATGTACAGATTAGTTAAAAGTCTGGAAGAGTCTAATAGCATCATTTGATGATCTATGTTAGAAGCAGGGCAGAGAGAAGAACCGGGTTGGGTCTAGAGAGCTGGATGGAAACCAGCCCAAGTGGAGCCGGAAAAATCAGTCTGCACACAAAAATCTCAAGCTTTTGCCCAAAAAAATTTGATTGGAGGAAATATAAATAGTTTTCCACCAATTCCTGTCAAGATGCAGTGCATCCATTATAAATGTACCATGACTATGAAAGGACACCGATGGTTCCACATGGATGCAAACAGATCTTCCTGGGGAAATGTTAAATAATACATATTATATAAGTATTGCATATCGACAAGAAGGCCTTGATCCCTCCACCTCATTGGAGGACTAGTTTGGGGGCATGTGCTAAAATATGCCTTAAGATCTTGTGTAAACAAGACTAGTAGGAGACAGAGCCAGCACAGCCTGGTAAACCCCCAGGATATATAATATACAAAATAACACTCCTTTGCCATGTATGTGCAGGCAAAGGTGTGGTTCATGACGCCATAGCTATGATGGGACGCTTGAGGTTGCTACTGCCATTAGTGGTAGACAGAGAATGGGCTTCTGTGACACAAGTGACTGCTACAAAACATATGTGTGGCTGGCTGGATGACAACAATGTTGGGTGCTAACAGGCTACTTATTTATAGTCTTCCCTTCCATGTGGTAAGGGAGTCAACACCTAGTCTTGCTCTATGTTAGGTTTACATAAATGGCTATGATCATTTTTCTTTTAATTTGTTTTTGGTGCTGAGGTATCCATTAAAGGGTTGGCTTCCTGGCGGTTCAATTACACAAACTCGATGCTGTCCTTGCAGGAAGGTTCCAGGTTTACCAAGTATTATTATTTCAGGTGATCTGTCATGAATGATAGAGACTAACTTACTCTTCAAGAATAAAAAGGGCTTTAGATTGATGAGAGATTGGCCATCCCAAGAGATCAATTTCCATACAAGGGATCATGGACAAACTGCTTGCATAAGCTACTAAGATATACAAGTTGTTTGAAAAATCTCTCTCAGTGGGAACCCTGTGTTATGTCACACTTCCATCTGGTGGTGGTCAGACGTACCAGCTGAATGCGACAACTGAAAACTAACTTGAACACTAATGGCCAATCCTTTGATATTGCCAATTAGTGTTTGAAAGGTCTAGGTCTAGGTGATTAAATCTACTTTTTGTCAGTCATTCTTCAATGTCTTCATAGCATCAGTATGAGATGGCAGGGACAGTTTGGCAAGATGCCTGCTGTGCAGATGATGGTTTCTATCCTGCCTAAACACTCATCTGTTCTGGGGCCAGGAGGTTTTCGTGGTAGGGAGTAATGAAGTGGCATAGCTTGAAACCCCCTACGTAGATCACTCTAACAATCAAATGTATTGCAACATAACCCCACAAATCAGTGAGCCAACTGTACAGTACAGTACTGAACATTTTATCTATGCTGTATAATGGTGTTTAGTCAATGAGAATATTTGTGAGAATAAGGGGTCTGGAACATCTTTTAAATGATTATGTAGGGCATCATGTTGAACTTTGACATTTTTGGATCAGGAGGAAACATCTTTGACACCCTGGTAGGAAACTCTGGTGAACACTTTGAGAAGATAATTCTTTCTACCAAGTCATAATTATCAGGAGCTCATACTTTGAGTTGCTAAAACATTTTATTTTAAAAAGTTTACCATGTAAAGTAATAAGTAATCATTAGAAATATCCTAATTCTGTAATTTTTTTCAAATATAAGCAGCAGTCAAAGCTTTTAACAATTAAATCATAACTTTAGTTTTAAATTTTCCTTACAAAAAATGCACATAAAACATTTACTAACCATATTAGCAAAGAAGTTTGCATGCTGTGGCTTCTCAGCATACTTTTCATACTGGTCAAGGCTGTCATGGAGCTTGAGCGTAAGGCTGTCGTAGTTGTTGCGCACAACCTCTAGAACCTGCAACGCATAACCTCATTATAGGCATACAAGATCATTTTCCTGAATTTGACTTAAACTGGTATTATACTGAATGGCAAAATTCCTTTTTATAAATTACAGTACAAGTATAGTAAATCAAATTTGAATTACTTTATTATAAACAACGATCAACCAAATCAGCTGCGCGCAACTTTAATTTTTTTTATATTTATTGTGTGCGGATGTGAAGTGCGTGTTCATATACAGGCTATAAATTTACATGTGCAGTATCTTCACACATACATAATGTAATATAAATAAGAACATTGATATAAACATACTGCAAATGAACCTATACTATTAAACACAGTTTACACTGCTGTTTGAAACACCAAGATTAATACATAGAGAATCTCAGAAACCAAGCACCTTGGATAATCAGGCCGAGGTGGAATTCCAATTCATACAGAATTATTGTATTTCATTAATAATGACCTAGTATGATGTAACTAATTTATAAATAATTTACATAAGATAATACTGTACTATTTGACCACTAGTAGAAGTGCAATAACTGGTGATTACTAATTATGGGGAATGAAGTGAATACATTTTTATTTTGACAAGTTAAAAAGGCCTATTTTTCCTGTGATAGCATCACTGACTAACCTGTTCTTCAGTGAGAGTTGAGATGCCATGTTCTTGGCTCCACTTGTCTAGCTTTGGAGAGAAATGGTTGATGATGGATCTACAGAGGAAGAAAACTTATGATAAAATTTATTCTGCACAAAATATCTATGGAAAAAAGATACTGTTGCAAAAATCATGCAATGAATGAAATAAAATAGTTTTGTGTGATAATTTAAATGTGGACTTTAAAATCATTCAAAGGAAGAGTATGAAATGTTTTAAAGGTCTGTTGAAAGGCCACACACTTCATCTGTTCTTGAGTCATTAAGTGACCAAAACCCTCCTGTTTTCCAAGGAATTCTGTACAACCAAGGATTGTTGTACCTGCATTCAACAGTGCTAAAACTAAAACTCAGCACATAATTATTATCTGTTGAAGTGCTGACCATGCCTAATTGATTTTTCAACACCAATTTAGTTAGTTGGTTTGATAGGTTAGGTTACATGCCCTTGGCCAAGCACTGTAACTGAGAACATTTAGCAGAGCTCAACTCCCTTCGGTGCCGTCAACTTGTTTAATACACTAGTGAATGGACATCCTTATGCCTAAACTCTACATTTTAAATACAGTACATAAATTCATAAGCAATCACAACAGCCACCTTCACTTTAGTGACTGAATTTCACAAACAGGCCCCTTAAACCATGACAATCATTCACTGACAATACAGTAAAAATTTTCATTTATAATAAGCAAATTCCCTCCCCCCCTCTCTATTTCTCTCGGTTACACCGTCATAATCTAATAATTCTATTTCTCATTATTCTTTTGTTTAAACATTCTGTGAAACTAATGTGTTTAATTTTCCCTTCCTTTAAGTTTCCATCATGTCCAGGTTATTGTGTTCCTCATATTTGTCTTACATTCCAAAAGGTTGTGCATGCTTGCCTATGCTTTCTGGTACACTGGGCAGGTACCAATTATGCCTCTTATGGGGAGAAGAAGAGAAGTCCGATTATTCCCTCCCTCTGTCTCATACTGCTTTACTGCACTAAAATATCAAATTACTCATAATATGAAGAACAAAGTATTTAAAGACTATGTCAAAATCTGTGCAATTTTATAAATAATGCAATTACCGTATGAAAAGAGTAAATGAAACAATGAAGCATGCCTGCACTCTTAAGCAATCTATGCTTACCTCACATTTCCAAGACAGTTTGTAAGCCTTTGTGCACTTTCTTTGTAATCTCCATCTGTCCGAGAGTAACGAAGACTCATTGAATACATGTTTTCAAATACCTGGAAAATATACAACTTTTATGGCATTTAATTTTTCATGGAGAATTAATAACACGAATGTACAAATCAAAAAAGTATAATAATTCTCAGTTATATTAATTTACTGTAAAAAAGTAAGATAAAGAAAATAACAGCAAAAATGTTTTACCTGATGCATTCGCATTATTTCATAATACAGTTCATCGTAACTGGAAGGCGTCGAGAGGAATGTGTCTCCGTATGTGATAAACAAGTTGAAAATATTCATTACCTGAAACAAGTAAAAGAAATAAACTTGAGAACCATTTTTAGAGTGTAATATTTATTAATTTAATCAATATAAAAATAAATAATCTATTCCTTTATAGATTTAGAACTTTAGTTACTAGATTAGTTTGAGACGAAAGTAGCATTCCTGATTTGGACTTGGGCCTATGTTGTTTACATAGACTACCATCTTTCGGTTGGGGGACATCGCTCTGACTAATGGCTTACACGTTAGCTTCAGAGAGATACTGTGGGTAGAAGATACCCATACCCCGTTATCTTGGCAACTCATTATTCCACTTAATATCAACAGTTTAGGTGAAACGAGTTTTTCTTGTGGCAGTGCTCAGTGAGAATAAAAACAGTCTTCAAAATGACATCTATTCATGTACAAATATACAAACAGAAGTATAACTGACCCAAAATTATCTTAACTGTGAAAAACCTAGCAGAGCTGCAATATATCTTTCAAAAGCAGTACTACTAGATTTGTCATAAAATGCACATGGTTGATTAGATACTGATTACTGGAAACTCAGTCGAAGGTGATCCCATTAACATTCACGGTTGCTTATTGTATTAATTAATTGATACAATTAGTATCAATTAATTCATTATAAGAGGTCATACTGAGCTGTCAAATACATCCACATACAGTAATTTGTTACGATCTAGTGTTTCACCTACAGAAAGTAACATCAATTACTATTTGTTTTACTATACAGTCAAACCATCATAATCCATCTCCCTGTTTCCCAGACAGATACATAATCCTTATTAACCAGATGAGCCTATGAATAATGAGAATACACCTCCATTAATCAGAGGTCTCAGCCATACAGAGGTGCACACTCACACGGTAGGAGTGGATGCTTGGAACCCAGGTTGATATGAGCCAGCCTAGGCAGCACCAGGCACACTTGATATCGGTGAGCACAAATACAATATGGGCAATAGTGGGAATTTATTTGAATACAGTAAAATAAGACACAAATGCACCAGATTCTGGTCCTGGTGTTTGGCAGGCCTGTGCAAGGCCAGTGGCCTATTAGTTTTGTGCCTGTATCTGTGGCCAGCCCAGACAATAAAATTGTAGATTTTTTCTATATACTTACAGCACAGTATATCACTACCACAAATCCAGTCTATTGAAATTTCTTGATTATCCAGACATCTAAGCAATTTATTTCTTTTATTATGAGATTGGTTAAAATTTCTGGACTGATGTAGGTAGTCATTTAGCACTCCTAATCCACTGTGTTACACTAAAAGATTTGAATAAAGTTGAACCCAGTTTCTACTGGAGTTTGAGACCATTACAATTTTTATTACTAGTTTGTTAAAAGCATAGCTTACCTGATGAGCAAGCTGAAAAATATTCATCTTTTTGGCTAAGTAGGCTTCATTGGTAACCAGAAATTTTGCAAGAGCAATTAGAGCTGCCCAGAGATCTTTCCAGTTGTAAGGTAGTCGCACTGAATTGCGCTTCTGGTAGCACAACAAGCGGTGAATGATGCTAACATTTTGGTGGAATAGTTCAATAGGAAGCTTCTTCATCATGTGTGACATCATGAACTCCACCATGACATCTGTGGCAAGACACTAACATATTACATTTGTGCACAAATATGCCCCCACAAAGATTTAATTTAATAATAATTTATTTTGTCGAGATGCTTCTCAAAAAAGAAGCACTCCATTTCACTCTTATGTCCTATTTGTTTATTACTAGTCAATACTGAAGTCGACACTTGCTTAGTTATGAATGGATACTAACCAGACATTTTATTTGTCTACGTCAGAATTTAGGCCTGGGGTCAAGTGCTGCAACTGGTAAGATTATTTAGCACTGTGTTTTACACAACACACAACCCAATAATTGTTTTACATCCAGGTCCCCAATTACTATTGGGTAAACATGTAACAGTGCCTAATTGAAACCCCAAGGAAAACCCATTTAATTCTTCAAGAATCAAGGTGGTGGGTACAGTAATACTATTGTACATATGATTCTTGTTATTAATCTGCACCCTATTTTGACCTTGCTGTTGTTTGTGCTTACACTATCAAGCCGAGTGATTTTAACTACAATTTTTAATGCGAGTCAAGATGAACAAAGTAAGCTAAGTTAGATTACCAAAATGTTGCTATTACCTAATACGGCACAGGCCAGAGGACGAGCATGAGCCGTTTTTTCTGGTATCACCTTGCGATGTCTCATGGGAAGTCTGTGTAAGGGCACGGTGAAGACGAGGTTGGCATCATGAAGCAGCAGGTTGCAGTACTGGTCCTCAGCTATGCAAGTAATTATCACAAAGCACAATTTGACATTGTTGAGGCTTTCTTCTGTTTTTGTGTCCTGCATTACAATAGAGCTGCAAGTGTGAAATTAAGCAGATTTTATAATGTATAAATATAGAGTATTGCCAAGTTTAACACACCCTTCTCTTCAAATCTGGCATCTACTTTTTTAAACCCCTAATTTTTGTAATCTTGTTCTCAAACTACTGTACAGTATATTAATTTATCTTCCATCATAAATTGTTCATATATTTCATTCATTAACATAAAATGTCTTGTATATGACAAGATAATTACCAAGAGATAGCATTAAGCCAGTATGACAATACAGCACTTGGAAGAAATACGAGGATACAGATTTCAGATAGGATGAAATGAGGGAATGGTGCTTGATACCCAACTACTTTGGGCTGTTAGGGGATCGAACGCCAACCTGCATAAAGATAGGCCATCACACAGTACCATATAGTCTAACTTTGCTTAGAATGTATTGCACTAGAATGGAACCCTTTGGTGAACTGTAAAAAAGAGGGTTAGCATAACTAGCCTTATTTTAATGGAACTGTCTGTTAGACCAAGATGCTAACACACATCTTATTACCATACATCAGTATGCTAACTATACTGACACAGCCAGAGTCAGTATAGTTAGTGAGAGTTTATCAGCTGTGATGTGTAATGAGTATGTGTAATCCTACATCAGCTCACCTATTTGGTTAGTTTTCAGAGGTCAATTGCAGGATTACACTAGATTATACTAAAGATGAATATGATAACATATTCCAGGGGTATCCTGAAAATATTAGTAACTCACCTGGAGAACCATGGAACTTGCCCAAGGAGCTGGTGTACACTATCAGGGAGCTGGAGCATACCTGGGGAGGGTTTTGGGAGTTCTTCTACTCTCTGAGCCCGGCCTGGGGCCAGGTTTGATGAGAGTCAAGCCTCAGAGAGTACCTCAGAGAGCTGAGGTACTCTCCCAAGTTATTTGTCTGAGAATCCAGAGAATGCTTCTTTGGATCTGAGGAACAGTCTGAAGAAGCAGAGGAGCTCTAGTGGGATTCTAGAGGATGGTCCTGGAGAGTGTGGAGTAAGAAGACTAAGCCACCACCTGCCCATACAAACAGAAGTATAACTGACCCAAAATTATCCGAACTGTGAAAAACCTAGCAGAGCTGCAAATATAAACAGTGAAGTTCCTGGAATTGAGCTGCTGGGAGTACAGAGGGATGGGAATGGGATTGGAGTAGAACACTGTGCAACTAGGTCCAGGAACCATCGCAGAAGCAACCATTTGGAAGACAACCTATAAAAACCTACAAATGTGACAGTTATGCAAGAGGATAGAGCAACATTCAGACTGGAGAAAAAGAAAAAGAAAAACTGAAGAGTATCCAGCTAACCTCAGTTGACATGCAGTGTCAGTAGAGCATTCCATGGACAAATGGAATGCACTAAGAAGTGAGGTGGTAGTGGAGGCAGACTATCAAGTTTCAAATGTAGATATGATGAGTCCAACAGACTCAGGAACCTGTACACTAGTAGACTGACAGTAGAAAAACAGGACCAGAGAGATGAAGCTAAAACCCCTCAAGCACAATTAAGACAGTACAAAAACCTAAGACAGCTCTGCTAAGTAATTGGAATGGCTAGATGGCACCAGGAAAACACTGAAATGAAAGTTGGAGTAAAACTAGGAAACAAAGGACATGCATGGAAGTTGGCATAAACACAATCATGAAGTAATAAAAAGCATAATCTAAGCGTGGATCCAATAACCCAAGGAACACCAAAACCACCTAGCTGAATAGCAGAAAAATGGCCCAAGCAGGAGACATCAGAAGACAATATCAGGTTAGTAAGTGACCTGGATAGAGCAAGGGTAGTTTACTCATTGCCCTATTTTTTCTCTCTTTACATACTTTTCTAATAAAGCAGTGATTTGTCTAGTTACACCTTTGATTTTCTGAGAGGTTCACTTTGGTTACAATGTCGATCTTTGATTCTCAACCTGTTTCCACTGCCTGTTTGAGGGAGCCAGATTTTGATCGTGATTTCCAGTAGTCCAGAGACACCTAAGAAGCCTGATAATGGAGGAGTGGTCCTGACAAACTCCACATTAGCAACTAAGGGAATAAACACCAATTTTTTGGCTATGGAAGCATCCAAAGGCCTTAGCTGAGAAGAAATAAGGTAGTGTCAAGTGCACGCTTTTTTTTATACAAAACTTATTCCTTCAATACGAGACAAAGGCATATTTCAACATCTGAAGATTCCTCACCAGTATTCTAAGAAAGTAACTAGTAGATTTGTTGGTTGTACAGAGGTTTCCATCTCAACAGGTGGCGCTGGGGTGGGTGCATCAGGTGAATCTGGAATTGGTGGCGTAATACCCCGATCAAGTGTGTTGGCTGGGGAGGGTGGCGTGGATGGGTCTGTAGCTGTCGTAAGGGCAGTGATGAAGTTGCGGTTGAGGTGGACAGCCTCATATAGGGCCAGTAAAAATGAGTCGTTTGCTCTGAAAGAAAACCCTGCCCATTACATATATATCCAATCAACTTTTGTAATTCAATTTTAAGAGTAACATCACATGCTAAAATTTTAATCAGTAAAACATTTCGCAAGAAAAAATCTACACAGTATACATTAGAAAATTGCATGAATATTACTGTAATGAATATAAGTGAATAATCTTGCAAAGCACATATCCGTGCAGCTAAAAATTTTATTTACATACTTTGTGCCAATTTTTGGCACAAAGAGGTAACAATGTATTCTGCTACGAACCACTGCCAACATTTACTGGATCCAGGGGCCCATCTTGAAGCTTTAGAAAAGCTGGTTGAACGTTACATAACTAGGAAACGTTCTTCTAGGCATGTGGACTTGGGTTGATATTTGCATTATAAGCTCATCCTTCATAAGTTGACCACTATCAATTAGCACATCCAGAGTCAACAAAGAATACGAAGATTAAAAGAATACAAGGTACCAACAATTATGCTTTTACATACTTTATGTGCTCATTGCGCGTAGCCATTTCCTCTGACAAGAACATAGAGCCAACCATGGAGGTGAGAGATGCAAACCATCCCGAACCCTGAGGCTCCATGAAGTGCGCCGAGTACTTGTGATTGAAGTCTGCCAAAGAAGCTGTGATGACCTGTTTAACAAAATTTACACTGAAATAGCTGCATCTGTTCCTCTGCAGCATCGAAGCCGATGAGAATATTAATAAAATCAAAGCCATAGTTGCCCTGCATTTTCCTGTATAATTGTTCTCCTCTGTGGAGAACAATTATTTTGTTTCTTTATCATTTACACTAATCTTCTGTTAAAATATAAAAAATAAACTGAAGTTCACAATCTTCTCTATCCCTCTCTCTCTCTCTTCTCTTCATCCTACATTATTTTTCACCGACACTTCGTAAATATTTTTTAATATAAAGTACATTTTAGATAAATTGCAGTGGCAGGAAAGCTAACTGAACAATTATCAAGAGTGAACTTACGACAGATTTAATCAAAATGAGTATTCTTCAAAAATTAGCAAGCAACAAAGATTGAGAGTACAGTAATAAATATATCATAAGGCATGCAATGGCAACTCTAAATCAGGTTATACTTTTTGCAAAGAAATAATATTTTAGGAGAATACAAGTAGTGAACTTATGAACACCACACTGCCATCTTGGCACAAAAGCTTTACCCAATATTTTCAGTGGACAAATCCCATCAACTGGAGTACATGGAGAGGTATAACAAATTCTTTTTCTACATAAAATACAATGAAACGTCAACACCTTACTTGTCCGTAACCATTTAAGACGAGTTCATCATCCAGCAGAGAGAGATTAACTGTGTACGGGTTAGTCATCTCATGTTTGCGATAGTTTACCATAAGCATAAGGTACAAGACAGCCTCAGGCCCATGCTGGTTTCGTGTACTGGAATGACTGAGCAGCTGAAAATTAAAAATGAATCACATTATTATCTATTTAGAGCCATAATGACAGTGAGACTTATGTTCCAATGCTCCCTGGGCCTAACATACTATCAGAACACATTCAAATATTTTTATATGTATAATTTATTTTTAATAGTAACTGTTTAAAGTAAAAGAGTGAATGGAAACAGGTCTCACTTATGAAGCAAGCCATTTAAAAAAAAATTGTGAATAATGTTAGGAATTTGGAAGCCTTAGTGGGGCACAAATAAGCACATTATCCATCAATAAATGAATAACCTTGGAATATCATACAAGAGAAGGCTACAATTATGCTTCCCCCTCCCCTTTAGTGTTACAGCTAAATATGAAGCCTTAACAAAAATAAATCTTAATTGTTTTTTTAAATATCTGCATAAATTACAGCATATTCATACTTCCGTTGAAATGAACTGGGGTCTGATTTTTGTTCAGCAAATTTTTTTCAAAGACATTATAATATAAAACTATTTTTTGTATAGATGAAACATTCAATAAATCTAGATAACAAGCCTAAATGTACTGACTAGTACAGTTTTCTAACCTAGAACGTATTGGAAGTTTGAAGAATTCATTCAATGGATTCCTCTATTTCTAAGTTTCTAACTTAAAAATGAGTGAGGGATAGTAATGGAGCTCATTAAAAGCATCACAATATCTTACCTGAATAACAGCATCAAAGTTACAATTAATCGTGAGGTACTCGAGCACAGTATTTTGACTAATGTTGTCTGTTCCTGTTGCCAGTACAAGCAGAAACTTTAAACTTAAAGATTTGAGGCTGTCACAGTATTCACCTGAAAAGAAACATACTTGCTATAAAACCAATGAACGTAATCAAACAATCATTATCAACATCAGATGAGCTTGATATATATACACAAATGCCACTAACTTTTAGTGCAGTTCAATTTAAATTCATTATATTTTCCTTAGTTTAATTTAGTCAAGTAGTCAAGAGGGTTCTGTAATGCAAGTGGGTGTGAGGTACAGATATTTGCATCAAAACAGCTTGTGGAGAAGGTGTGTGTGTAAATAATTATAAGGTGTAGAAGGCCTTTATGGTCTTAGAAAAAACATATGACAATATCAACTGAGGACTCTGGAGAGTAATGACCATGCATGGAGTAGGTAGAGTTCTATTAAATACTGTGAAGTTTTCATGCAGGAAGTACAGTAGTACATTTGTGCATTAATGATGTAATTATTGGTTTGATATCAAATTAGCTGTGTGTCAGGGTACTCATTTCTCTTAGTTAATATATATATAGTACAATATATATATTATTTGGATCGAGTCATGAGGGAGGTTAAGGTAAAAATGCTAGTAAAAAAAAGTGAGAGATTGGGTGTCTACAGAGGTGGATATGTAAATACAGTACCGGAAACCTGAATGGAAGAGGATGTCCAAAGAATGCTTTTATATAAGGTGAATGTGTGATAATGATTAAATAATTACACATTTAGAGGATAAACAATAAAACCACATGTCAAGAACAATAGATTAGAGTATTTTTTAGATAGAGACTTATTTGCAATCTAACCTGTAAGGAAATTTGAACAGTGGTTTAGCAATAGCTGCATCTGTTCCTCCGCAGCATCGAAGCCGATGAGAATATTAATAAAATCAAAGCCATAGTCGCCCTGCATTTTTCTGTATAATCCTCTGACCAGACTGCATAAAGTCTGTGGGTGAGAGAGAAGAAATAGTGTTACAAAATTAGTTTTTGAAAAAAAATAACACAGTATCTTTAACACTTAAGGTGCAGTTATTATCATACATTGATTTCTGGTAAAATGCAGTTAGGAGGAGAGGTACCTTTGATCCTAACCACTCATTAGGGGACTAATACCTGTATATAACTTTTCAGTTACACTGATATTGAACTTTTTAGCATTAAAGTACTTGGTAGGCTACTTTTATTGTATATTTTAAGGGGAAAGACTCCATTTTCATGGCCAAATTTTGCCTATTTAATTTTTTAGCACAAGAAAACTTATCTCTTCAGGAACCAATTCAGCAAATTTACCAATTCCTAATACTGTTTTGTTATTTACCAGTTGCCAACTATTTTATAATAAGTGAATAGTCACTTATATCATAAGTAATATTGCACAAAGAAATCACATTAACATTGTGTATAATAAGAAAATCAATAGGAACCATGAGGAAGATTCAAACCTGCACACTGGGCACTCCCAAGCACACGCCTTAAACTACTAGGCAATGATATGTTAAAAGAAATATAACCTGGAATTCAATTGAATTTTCTGGGGTTCACGAGACACCTTCTAATACCAACTCAGGGTTTTACACATTACCCGCATACACTCTGGCTGGGGTAAAGAGAGTTCTACCCCCAATGCTTCTCTTCAAATGCACAAAGAAATATTAACGTGATGTATCAAACAGAAATTGTTTGGAGCAATGAGGGGGATTTGAACCTGCACACTGGGCATTCCCAAGCACACACCTTAAACCACTAGGCCATGAAATGCTAAAAGTAATGTAACCTGGGAATACAACTGAATCCTCTAGGGTTTCCAAAGCATCTTCTGATGCCAAATCAGGGTTATACACAAATAATGAGGACAGCTATGCAGTGTGCAAGACTGTACAGGATAGAGAAATTTTTTAAAGAAAATGAGAGCTGGAAAATGGATAAAGAATATAAGGCATGACTGATAAATTGATAAAAATTACTGGGAACCCAGTGTACCTGACCCGAGGTCTTAACCCAAATACAGTACATTACAGTATACTGTAACAAAAAAACTTATGAAATAAAAGAGCTTCATTTAAAGACATTTCAAGAAAAAATGGTTAAATAAAAATGACAATTTTACCTAAGAACTTTGTTTATTTAAAGAAGAAATCTTAAAACTAACCAGAAGTGCATTGATTACACGTATGTGGTGTTCGTGTGCCAGCACCTGGACACACTTGGCAAAGAGCGTGTTGATATTTTCCTTCAGTCCCAGTAGCTGGTCAGATGTACATCTGCTGATTTCACCTTCTAATGCGGACATTTTTGGCTGTTGTACAAAGAAATAATACATTAGCATTTGAAGGAAAAGATTTACATATAGTAATTTATTTATACATGATTGGATACACAAGGCACATAGACTGAAGAACCCTCAAATCCATACATTAATATGCATGAAATTACAAAATCTTTAATTTACCTTTGGCTTCCATGTTTCACAAACATTTTTTTTTAACAACTTTGAGTTTCCTCGACTACACCAAAAATTTGGTGCAATCAGTTCAAAACCTGCAAGGCAATTTTTGCTTACACCTGACTAAATCAAAACATTAAATGCTTAATGATTACAAGTCATTTTGATACATTAACAAAATAACACAGTACAATTCTACAGCAATTTTGTCAACATATTAAACAAAATATTCTACATTAATAACTACTGTGTACTCATGAGAAAATCATCACGAAATACGATAATGCAACATACACAGCAACCTCCAAACTACGAACCTCTTTATTACAAATCCCTCAAAACTGAGCACACAAATTTCTTTCTAATCGGCTAATCTCTAGAATTCACATTTGACCTGAAAACCCAGATTGACTTCATATACTGTAGCAATTTTCAGCAAATAGTTTTTCAACATTTTTACTATTCTTGTGTATGAAGTAGTACCAGTGCCAATCTATGACTTTCTACCAGTTATTAAAATATTTGTCTCTGAACTAAAGTTAAGTTTTAGTTTGTTAATTCTATGACAAAATATTTCAATTTTAAAGTTAATAATTTACACCTGAAAATTCTTATACAGTACAGTACATTACTTGTATTGTAAATTTATTAAATCAGTTTACCATTATCGAGGTTCCCCTAGCCAAAGAATGACCTCCCAGGACGAGACCTGTAACGTTCGACTAGCTGTCAGGTACCTATCTACAGCAATGTGAACAGTCATCAGGTGTAAGGAAACATGCCTAAATGTCTGGCCCTATCCGGGTGTCAATTTAGGTGAAAATACTTTTGGATACTTTTTTTTTTAGTGCAGTGGCTAAGACTAGTAGAGTGTGAAGCATAAATTAGCTTCATCAGTACTGTATTCAGTACACAGGAAAAATGGGGAACCTTTGACAAGCTACCAGCTTCCTGTCCTTGTTACGGCCACTAAATAAATGCTGGCCCCCCTCAGGCAAATTCAGGTAAAAGTGATGGCACCTGTGTTAAAAATGGCTGGGGAAGAATCCTATCATACTGGTTGGGCTAAGCCTAATGTAAAAAATGTCAACATACAAATGTTACCAGAACCTCTTTCTGCCAACAATAATATGGTAAACTGTACTGAAATACTGTATATTAAAGTTCATGCTGAGACTTTTGATTTAAACAATTTACGAAAAAAATTCCTCTATTTTGAATTGTACGATTAGATTACTTTACCTTAAGTAAAAAGAGATCCTCCCAAAATCGAGGGTTGTTGATGCAAGGGTCTGTGCCATGGAATAAATCTTCGTACATTTGTACAACTTTTTCCTTCAGGTGTCGCCGGACTCCACCCGGCTTTAATTTACTCCCCATCGTGAATGCTGGACCCTTCTGCTATGTTAATACCTATATATAAAAGATAATGTTTATAATATATTATATATATTATATATATATATATATATATATATATATATTATATATATATATATATATATATATATATATATATATATATATATATATATATATATATATATATATATATATATATATATATATATATATATATATATATATATATATATATATATATATATATATATATATATATATATATATATATATATATATTAATATTATGCACACACACACATCCATACATATACACACACAAAATAAATTTGTGTACAGTTTCAGCTATTCAGGCATAACAATATGAGCAGTAGCAAACACAATGCAGACAATGAGTTACAATAACATGGCTGAAGATACGATGACTAAACCACACATCAGAAGATGGAGGAACGACAACGTTTCGGTCCGTCCAGGAGGGACAGATCTGGTTAGTCTCACAGAGCACTGTGACACTTCCGCCCACAGTCAGTTCCACACACAGTACGCTGAACAACCTTGTGGATTTGTTCATTTGACATATCATGCTGTTGTGATTTCTGTGTGTATTGAAGTAAGGACGAAGAGGTAGAACATCTGTTGATAGAGTCCGGGTGTATGGGAGAATTGTGTGAAACCCCGGTTTGTGCTTCGGAGAAGCTACAGGAGTCTCGTGAGGGCAAGTAGCACTACAGGCTGCAATTCTTTTACCATGTAGTGACGCAGTCGACTAAGGTGCATCTCGGATCATCCCAGACGTAGGTTCGAAGCCTCATCATGGCTCTTGTGGATTTGTTCAGTGGATATACAGTACTTGGAGGTAGATAAATAGATCATACTGTATAAAATTTATCAGGGAATATGTGAGTAGCAGATGAATAGATATTCATCTTTTAATTTAATGGGAGGAAGGGTAGATCCTGTAAAATTAAATTAGAGCTATGCTACTAGAGTGGTCATTAAAATTATGAGCAGCAGCAGTCTTGTAACTCTCTACTAAGAATGCCTTACATCATTTCTGTAGGCATATACAAAAAGAATAATTAGTTGATTAAGTTAATTTACACTAGCATTATATTTAAATACAGTAGGTTCCAATGAATGATGGCCGTATTTGAATAAAATATAAGAGCATACGAGGCAGCTCTATTTATATCCACCCTCAGTCATATAAATGTCTAACCAATGACTGAAACAATCTGCATGTAGATTCAATGTCTTATGTTACACTGTAATTTGTTATATAACTAACAACCCTGTTTTCAAACCAGTATCTACCCAAGCCTTTCCTAAATCTAAACTTATCTAATTTATATCCATGGTTTTGTGTTCTATGTTTTGTTGATATATTTAACATTAGTATCCCCCTTCATCCGCTTGAAAAATATGTTACAGAAAGGTAGTGTTTGAGGGTGTTCGCGATGCTGTCACTGAGTATTTTGCCCTTGGGATAGATAAAGAAAAACCAGTTTTTGTCTTGCGTTTATATTCTGTAAAGGGCTTGTGTTTTGAATGTATCAAGTCATTTTGTGAGCTGCCATTATGAGTGCAGCAAAAATATTAAAAAACAAAACAAAAAAGTAGGGATGCCTAACAAGCTTCCAGTCACTGGCATGGTAAACCATGCATGGTGATGTGTATTGACACCGTGATAGATGTGCAGAGGTAGAGCAAAAATTCCAAAACCTTAGTTACAGGCACCAACGGGGTGCTGCACTATTTGGAAACAAGCTCGACAAAACAAATTTACTAACCAGCTCATAAAACTTCTATTATTCTCTATGTAAAAAGTGCCGTGACCCGTGAGTTTAAATATAACACATCCAATCTATAGACTGCAGTAGTTTACAGTTCAAACAATTGTTCAATTACTCTCATACAACGCGGTACACTCTGACATGGTCTGCTCTTCAAATAAAAGATGAACAGAACAGCCACACTCCTGATTAGCACATCCACTTGTGGCAGCGTTGAACAACCCATTACACCACCGTGTGTAACCATGCCCGTCTCAAACTGTCCATGGGGGGAAGACAAAATGTACATGTTAAATAATATTTTAAACTTACGTGATACAAAACCCCCTCAATCACGTCAGTATAACCAAATAAATGAAGCAATCACTAGGGTTACACGACCCTATAATCCTTCACTGCGACTCAACAGTGACAGAACTGTGGCTAATAACATAGCAAGTTCAGTAGGCAAGAACAGGTTGGCATTACTGTCATCCCTGTGGCTGGGCCCTAGAGCTGCTGTAAAGACGCCTTCCCAACACACTTGACCTGACGTCTTCCCAACACACTTGACCTGCAATAGAACATCTCAGGAGAACAACCCACCGCCAGGTTCACGCTGCGTAAACAAACGTCAGCTGGCACAAACAAGTGAGGCGCGCCCTCATTTAAGCAAGAAGCCGAAGTTAGTTTACAATAAAAAAAATTCATTATAGTAACTTTAAAATTAATTTTATTAAAAATACACTCCAATCCATAACAAGTTTTAAGCATTCTGATGACGTTTTGAGTTGTGGTTTCATGTCAATTAATATTAAAACCGTGTCCTGCTCTTTTTGTTTTTTATTAATACATGAGGTACATCTGCATTCGTGCAGCTACCCTAGACTATATGAAGTGGAGTACAGTGTGTCAAAAAAGCTAACTACGTGATGCTAAAAAATCCCCATCACACAGGATGGTTAGTCATACAGAGACATATGTGATAAGCAGTCTGCATTGGCAGACTCCGGAAGCATTTTGAGGATATCATCAACACAAGATTGAATAAGGTAGCAGTGGTAATAAGTCCCCATCTCGCAGGATGGTTAGTCATACAGGGCCATATGTTTAGTAGCCTGCACTGGCAAATTTTGGGTGCAATATGAGGATATCCTCAAGAATACGAGAGTGAATAAAATAATTGCAAAGCTCCAGGTACCTCATGCCAACTGGTCTGAAAGGTCTAATAACTGGGCATTCGATGATGTAGTGTGGGAGATCATGCCACAGTTCCTGCTCACAGAGTTTGCACCTGGAGTGCTCAGGATTGGGAGATCCGTCACCTGTAGCCACCTGCCACAGGTAACGGTAACCCAACCTGATCCTTGCAACCACTGTGTCGCACAGTCTGGTGGACGTTTTGTGCTGCCCATAGATATAGGTTTCAGATGTGAACAAATCATAGTTTTTAATTCTAGTACTTTCAGGTCGTTGGGAGTCAGTAATTTCTTTCCTATCAGACCTGAGTGTTTGAACGAATACAGTTTTGACAGTAGAGATGGGGATACCTAGATCTAATTCAACTTCATCTTTGTTGCACGCTAATTTGGCTGCAATGTCTGTCTTATTATGATGGGTTATATTTATGTGTGAAGGTATCCATATAAAAGAGATTCGAGACCCTTTACTCTGTGCAGCAATTAGATCATTTATAATTGGTAGTATGAGGCTCTTGCTGTCGATCTTCCAGGAGAAGTTTTCGATTGCTTGAAGAGCAGACTTTGAATCACAAAATATTATTCCTCCTCCAATGTTTTTTAATGTACTGGTAGCTAGTTGTAATGCTGCTAGTTCTGCTTGTGTGGAGGTCAGCCAGTTGTTCAACCTGACACTGACAGTCTTTGTGCAAATATTATTTCTATAAAACCTACATGCTGCTGCAGTCCGTCCAGTAGAAGATTGGACTGAGCCGTCGGTGTAGACACAGTGCTCGTGAGATCTTAAATTCTCGATGGAGGCAATCCTGTCCTCAGGAAGAAAATCTGCTCAAGGGAATGGAATGGGAACGACTATATAATTAGTGTTATTATCTACTCTCTATCCATGGTTAGATTAAGTTGAGTTTACTTTAGGTTAAGGTTTGGTTAGGTTTTATTACATTTGGTTAATATGGTGTAATACAATGTAGTACTGTGTAATTCGATGTCGGGCCTTGCCCGAAAAGCTGTATTCACCTAGTTGTGCTTGCGGGGGGGGGGGTTGAGCTCTGGCACTTTCGGGCCGCCTCTCAACTGTCAATCAATAAACTATTTTTCACACACACACACACACACATCCCCAGGAAGCAGCTCGTAACAGCTGTCTAACGCCCAGGTACCTGTTTACTGCTAGGTGAACAGAGGCATCAGGGTGATAGAAACTCGGGCCATTTGTTTCAGCCATCGCCGGGATCGATCACTGGATCCTAGGATTACGAATAACAAACACTGTCCACTTAGCCACCAGGCCCCCAATTAATGTTTGTATTAGTGTTGTTGTTGTTTTAGATTCAGCTACTAGGGACAAAAGTTCCAAGTAGCACGGGCTATGGTGAGCCCGTAGTGGACTTACCTGGCACAGGAGCGGGGCTGTGTCTGCTTACAGCCCTTACAGTCTGCGTATTAGTGGTTTTAGGCATAGTATATACTAGATCTATCTAGAAATACAACATTCTGTTTGTAACATTTTGTATATATGTACTTACAATATGTACATACATTTTAGTAAGTACATACTAGTAATAAAAATTATTATTATTATTATTATTAACAATAATGTGAAATATGAAATTAAAAAACTATTTCAGTGTGACCGAGAATTCCGTTTATAGAAAATCAATTTTTGTTCTATATATAAGAGATCTTATATTCTTGTAAAGCCACTAGCGCACACTGCATTTCGGGCAGGTTCTTAATCATAATTTTCCCTGTAATACAACCTGCCAACTTGTTTAACAACCAGGTATCTATTCACTGCTGGGTGAATAGAGGTTACAGTTAAGGATTGGCACCCAGTCAATCCTCCCTGGCCAGGATACGAACCCAGACCAAAGCAAGTGCGAAGCGCCAGGCTAGTATTTTAACACTGAGCCACTGGGATTACAAATTCTTGGAAGAAAACGCTTTCAGCATACACATTTTATATTTTAAACCAAAACTTTAAAATATAATGACGTTATAACTTGATAATAATCTCTATTTATGACAAAGGTTCATTTACCATATTACGGTTCATTCTCTGGAACCGTAATATGTTTTCAGATCATCACAAGTATATAGATAACTATCCAAGTGGTCTGAAGGGGGTGCGGCTTCTCATGGTAATGGATTTGTTCTGAGGACGGGCTCTCTTAGCACGCCCACATCCTGGTGGTGCGGGCGTTGGTATGAAATTCAAATTCATGTTCAAATTCTTTATTTAGGAAAAGTACATACATAGTTGATTTACAAACATAAAGTTGGATTTATATTTAGAGCTAGTACATACAATACCTAAAGCCACTAAGGTAAATCAATTATACAGCTGAATATAACAATAACTGGCTTATCAAAGCTGCAATTTGCCTAGCTAAACGAACTTTAGGACTCAGTTCCTGAGCCCATTATGTACCGTAAGATAAAATAATTTTTGTATAATATATTGTCTCAATATATGTGTTGAGACAATAACTATGTAACTAGCTTCTCAGAGCTGTAATTAACTTGCTCAGCTAAATTAATTTTGGATCAGAGGATCCTCGTTGACCACCCGACTCGTCCTCTCTAGTGTTCACAATGTCACTAAACTGATGTACTAAATTGCCCGAACTTAACCTAACCGAGGACCCTCGAATAGAGAATGGGATATTACGTCAATATGCGAGCCGTTATGCATTATAGTACATCAGTTTTTGACCTTATGTGACTTACACGTCAAAATGCGATGTACTATGCGAAAGGACAACCAGATGGAATAACTTACCCACGGCTCAAGTTCAAGTATGTTTATTTATTGAGATAAGAAAGAAATACACCTCAAAGGGATAGAGTAGCTTAGGCTATTTCTAACCCCCTTTCCCACGGCTCACTTCGCCTATATGTGCATCTGTAGTTCCGGTAAAACGGTTTTTAAGTCTTTTAACCAATTCCATTTACTGAGTTGCTTCAAGTTAGTGGGAGAGAGCAAGTCAGGTGTGTCCGGAGGCAAACTTGTCTAATATAAATTCTGAAGGATTTAGAAGTTAGATTAGTATTGGAGGCGAGAGGTGTTGGCTGGATGTTGGTAAACTTGGCGCGGGATACCTTCGTTGACGGTTTATAAAAGTTAGAAATGTCATTTATATAAGTGCTATATACAATTTAATCACACGTGGGCCTGACAGTTGAGTGGACAGCGCTTGGGTTCCGGGTTCGATCCCCGGTGGAGGCGGAAACCAATGGACAGTTTCTTTCACCCCGATACCCCTGTTCATCTAGCAGTAAATAGGTACCTGGGAGTTAGACAGCTGCCACGGGCTGCTTCCTGGAGTGCGTAACAAAAAGGAGGCCTGGTCGAGGAACCCTGACCCCTTCCCTTCACTGGGAAGGGGTCAGGATAAGGATTTGGGATGGGACGGGGGAAAGGAATGGTGTCCTACCCCTTGGACCGTCGGGGATTGAACACCGACCTGCATAAAGCGAGACCCTCGCTCTACCGTCCAGTCCAAGTGGCTGGGACAATTTTTTTGTCCAGAGTTTCTTTCACCCTGATGCCACTGTTCACCGTGCAGTAAATAGGTACCTGGGAGTTAGACAGCTGCTACGGGCTGCTTCCTGGGAATGTGTGTGTAAGATATGTAGTATTTATTTATTTTTTATTAATTTATATATACAAGAGTTCTTACATTTTTGTACAGTCACTAGCACGCATAGCGTTTTGGGCAAGTTCCTAATCCTAATTTTCACACACACACACACACACACACACACACACACACACACACACACACACACACACACACACACACTCCTGCAGCGTCTCGCTGTTAACACTCCCACTCACACCATTTGCATTTTGGCCTAACGTTTGCAATCACTGCCCAGTGATCCCCTAATATTGGGTAGAGACCATTTTTTTCTCACTCTGGCGGCCAGGATTAACTACTCGACGACACCAACATTACCTGGAAACGTTTTTCAAACCTCATGATACAATTTAATTTGGTTAAACTTCGTAATTCAAAAGTCTCTTCTCATCTGAAGCCTCGCCTCCATTTAGCGCTTCGCCAGTGGCATGTTGAGTACATTGTCTGCAGGGAAGGATCGTCA